CTTGTGTTGTTAAAAATTTATCAATGGCCAATTTCTTTATTTTGTCCTAATTTAAAACAACCACTTGTATCGGAAGATACGGAGGACGAATTAAATGAAGAAGAGGATATTGAATTGGAATCCGGTATAGAGTTAGATAAAATTTAAGTTCCTATACTACTTATTTACTATTTTATATTTAAATTTGAAAATTATCTCTTTGTTCGAAACTTTGGAAAAATATATAAAGTTCCTATAAATCTGTTTTAAATTTTTAGTGAGAATTATTTTTAATTATTAAATTATTTTTTGATTTATTATAAATTAAAATAATATCAAAATAAGAAAACGTCTTTTTACGCCTAAACATCGCCTTAACTCTCATAGCCTATAATTTTACCTTCACGGGCCGTCACGCATTACGCCTTTTAAAATACAGATCAAATCACAATAAATAATTTTAATCACATATTTTATGAAATCTACAACTTTTAATTAGACAAATTTTGATCGTTTAAATTTTTAGACGAGTACGAAATCAAATGGCTCCCCAACTGGTAAAGAGACACGTCCCTACCCTTTCTCGTTCTTGCTGTGCATATGCAGATGCACATGGGACCTAAATAATTCCTTGTATTCGTAGGTAACAATAATTTTGTCTGTGGACAACTTGTGCATGCCCATCCACTACATAGATAACGTAAATTTTTGATTCACAATTCGATGAATCCGCCGCATCCACCGAAAGTGGACAACAAACTTGCCTGTTGTCGTTGTCAACACTAAATGCTACGATTAAAAAACGGACTTTGTGAGAAATTATTATTTATTAGTTTATTCCTTTTCTATTCACAGAAGCAACAAAGAATAATGTATACCACCAAGTCACTTACCAATTGGACGGCTTAAGTCAACGGGAGATGCTATATGTATCAAATCATTTATCAAATGAATGATCGAATTGACAAGTGTCGCGCTCTTATTGGAGTGGATAGGCGCCCCTCCAATCAGGGGGTGCCACTTGTCAATTCGGTCAAAAATTAGGTAAGATATTTGGTACAAGTAGATTAATTCTAAGTCAACTCGGTGGATGTTTTCCGATTAACATTGACACTCGGAACTTTTATAACGATCTAAATTTGTGTTTAAATTGTAAATTTTCGTGAATGCTCTTCCCCAGCTTTAAACTCATAGTCCCAGGAGCATCTCCAATAGATTATTTATTTTAAAGAACATTTTATGTATGATAAATAACATAACAATTTTTTTGGTGGAAGCCGCGAACGGTAGAGGATTGTCAAAAATTAGTGAAAACTGGGGCAGAACACAGTTATAGACATATTTAAAGGGTGTTTGGGAGATATTTTTATGTAAAAATATATTTTTGAATAGTAAATTGATGAGAAATATGTGGTTGAAAAATAAGGAAATATTTTTTATTTACTTGTAATATTATTTTAATAAAGAATGTGTGGTTGAAAAAAAAAGAGAAAAATGCATTTTGAAAAAATAGGTACCAAACGGAACCTTAGTAAATTGAATTGATCCAAAATTCTCGATGCTAAGAAAATTACTTCATTAAGATGATTTGATCTATTGTGGATCATGCACTGAAAATTAGGAGATCCTCAAAATTATGTTATGATATTTTAAGTATAGCAGAATTTATAATCTTATTTCAATCAAGTCCACCCATCCCTTCAAGTCTGTTAAATTCGGTTTGTAGAGTATATATTGCTGCTGAACAATGCTATAGGTACATGATTTTTTGATAGAAAAATTTTACACATAATACGGTGCACGACATCATTGGAAGATGGAAAAAAAAAATTCAATCATATTTTCCCACATCAGTGTCAGTACAAGTTATGTTAAAAAAATTTTGTACTCGTTGTTTTATTATTATTATTATTAATTTTTTTCCCATTTAATTGGATGCTGTCACGTGTATTCTATGAAAAATCTGACGGAAAACTTCTGTACACATAGCACTTCTATATATCGAATTCATCGTGTAATGTTAATATCCGTTATTGGGTTTGGCAAAGCTTAAAATGTTAACTTATATGAAAGTAAACAAGCCATTATCGAAAAGGTTACTTTTTTGGCAATAAAATAAAACTAGAAACATTTTATTTAAAATGAGAAAAAGTTAACACAGAACATGAGGAACACAGAGAGCCACAAACACATTGACATTTTTTCTTGACAAAGTCCACCATTTTCAAGCAGCTCCCTCGCCAAAAGTCCGATCCACTAAACTTTTGATTAGTGTGCACTGATTTTATTCTTCAAAAGCAATGCCCTTAACTCCGCCGCGTCAATCTCCGCCGCCTGATTCTCCGGTCGGTAATATCCGGTGACTGGGTCCGGTACCCATGAAGTACTCTTGCCGGATTCCTCCACCCCTTTCTTCAAGATCATGTTCGGCGCCACCCCTCCGCTACTCAGGCTCTTCGACACGCCGCCCTGTGCTGCCGCTGCGTATCCACGCCTGTACATATATTTTATACACCATAATCCCATCAAACAGCTGAAAAAATAATGGCATATATGATATTTAAGTAATCAAACAATTAATTATCAATTATTCATTTTTCCTAAAAGATTCGTCCGGCTTTCCAGAAAATTAGATTTGGCAACTTTTTATGCACAAGTGCACAACACAACATTTTTGAATAAATGAAAAGATTGAAAAATAGGAAATACCCGGTGGAAGCAGCAGAGACTTTATTGGCAACGAAAGCAGATACAATTTTAAAATTGGAGAATGAACGAGCCATTTTTTTGAGAGTGAAACGTTATGGAAATTAAGTGAAAATGAGAATATAACTAAAAGCTGCTGCAGAAATTTTTCTCCCACTTCTCCGAATGGAAAAGAAAACCTTTCTGCAGCGGCGGAACAAGGAACTCTCTCTTTCTCTCTCTTTCCCCCTTGAAGGCTTCTTAAGGGTTACGATGTTATGAATTCAGTGGAAATAATTTAGACGAGGGAACCTTATTTATAGGCAACCTGAAACCTAAGGCGGCATGTTTTGTTTCTTGGTCTTATTGCCTTTGTTTGGATTATGGGTAAACATGACTCGATTTGAACGATTTATATCAAATTTTAAATTAAATTGCTTACAACAATTTGAAATTTTTTCAAATCAAACTTCATCACTTCAATTTCTAAATCAAATTAACTCAAAGCACTTTTTCAATTCGATTTCATGATTTAAGCCCTGTTTGAATCCCATTATTATCCATCACATGAAGTCATCATGTTTGACTTTTTATCTTTTGTGTAGAGTTCCTAACGACTATATTTTCCATTCTCATTTTTACAATAATTTGGCTCAAACGGGGGCTTAATAGAAAAAAATAACATATGTCGAATAAGTTAAGTCATCAATATTAATCTAAAATTTCACGTTAAAACATGAAAAGTATCATTAAAAATATTACAAGTTAAAGTTCTATAGTTCTAATCATTATAATACAAAAGCATTATAGAAATATTTTAACATCTTAGTCGATATAATTAGCACAACATTTACAACAGTAACACATGATTCATTCTCTCCATAAATATAAGAATATAATACCTTAATTCATTTATTATAGTTAAATAATATGAAACAACTAATAAAAAAATAAATAGAAAGATCAAATACAATAATATCTTCTATAACGTTTTGTAAATCATCCAATGTTTCTATCTCATAAAAATATTGATGAATCATTGCATGTGTTCTTGTAACTATGCAACCATTTTTATGGCAAATCACCGTCTCAATCATATTTTCACCCAACGATCTCCTAAAAGAATCACAGATTCAACTATTAGTAGGGAATGCGAACTCAGAAATAATTGTGAATATTTGAATAGCTAACACTTTAACAACTTAGGGGGACAATCTTATACTTATTTGCATTCAATTTCCACAAAAGTAATGCCCTGTATTTTAGGAAAATATATATTTTGGAATAATAATTTTTAAGAGAATGTATTGTTAAAAAATAAGGATTTTTTTTTAATTTACATGTAATATTATTTTACAAGGTAATGAGAGAGAAAAATATTATTCATCTTCTTCCCCACTCACCCCCTCACACACCCACCCACACCAAAACCAAAACCCAAGGCTCAGCTCATTAGCCCACTCCAAATGCCTTTATATAATCCCAATCAGTCACCCCAATTTCGACACATTCTAGGGTTTAACTTTGAGGCTTAACATGTTTCTCTCATTCTACCCCGCCTTTGAAATTTATATGCGCAATGCCGGAAAATGCTTTGCTTCTAGTCATTATTTGCTTTTATTTAATCCGTTTTTGTTTTCTTTCGAGTCATTATGGAGTAAAATTAGGTTTGAGCATCGTCCGTAATAGGCTGCATCAAACTTGGTCCAGTCTCGAGCGACAGTGCATAAATCAAAAGCTGGTTTTAATCAACGGCGGCCAAACAACTGCTGAGATGGATCCACAGATGGGTGCTTCTGTGCCTGTCTACTATTCCCATCTCACAATTTTTGTTATTTTTAAACTTGAATTTAAGCCCCTCTTTGAAAAATGTAAGAAGAAAGAATAAAAAAAATAGATTAAATTTACCAAAAAAAAGTTTTTTTTTTTTAACATTCGAGTTAAATGTTTGACTGGCTATTGAACTTTGATACATGTCACGGTTTACTCACTGTCCTTTGAAACTTGTCCCACTGGCCATTCAACTTTGCTCCGTCTAGCTCCATTGGCTACCGGATGGAAAACGTCAGTGAACTTGCACACGTGGCCGACGGTAATTTGACATGTCACGTTAAATTGAAAATTACTGCCACTAAAAAGCCAAATAAGCAGTGTCAAACACGTCTTTATCTTAACAAACACATTTAAAGTCTTCAAAATTGTCATTTATTCCCAACCCCTAAAACACGTCTTCTTCAACTCGATTGAAGCCCTAACCCCTAAATGGTACTATCCCACACGAAGGCCCCCACGAGCACGAATCAGTGCGGAGTGTTGCAATGAGGAAGGCTTGCACATGGAGGGACCACTAGAAGGTAATTGAAAATCAATATTTTCCATTATTTCCATGAATGTGGACAACGAGAACTCGACAAATGAGCAAATTTAATATGTTGTTCAAATTTACATTTAAGCATCGGAATCATGAATTTTTGTATCTTCCTTCGTATTTTGATGAATATGCTCCATGATTTCTACTCCATGATTCTAAAAGGATTTTTCACTAGTGGGATCACTTGGGGGGCCCTTACCGATTTCCATAAAATCGGAATGTACTGTGACATAACACATAAATATGTATAATCTGAAAAAACTTTTTCATATCATGCATATGTATAATTTGAAAATATTTATAATTAATTTGCCTCCATTCCTATGTTCACAGTATGTATTTCCATACGTGAAATATAATTTCCTAATTGCTTGTGGTGTATATGTATCAGAGGATGATTCAGACTTCGTTAATTCTAAGAACGATATGGAGGATGAAGATGACACACTGTATGAGCAAAATGTGATCAATGGCATCAAGATGGGGATAGCTGGCCACGATCAAGTTCAAGATGAACGGGGAGAGGGCAACGATATGGAAGTAGACGACTTGGAATATCCGATGGGGGAGTTATTGTCACAATGCTCATCAGATGACGATGGTGGGTTTCGATTTCCTCAATTTTCTGTTGAGGCCGATGTGAAAAATCCACAATTTGAGGTAGGCCAGATTTTTAGCTCAGTAGTCGAGTTCAGGGAGGCAGTTAAACTTATGGTGCATTGAATAGATATAATGTAAAGTTTACGGCGAAGGAGGAGAGACGAGTACAAGGTGTGTGCAAAGTTGGGTGTAAATGGAGAATATGGGCTTCCTCGTTTGACAACACTGATATATTACAGATGAAATCATACATATCAGACCATACATGTAGTTGGGACCAGTATCACAGACACTGCAACTACAAGTTCCTTACACATCGTTACCTTGAGCAGTTCAAAGTGGACCCCAACTGGAAAACAGAGCTAATTTTAGCGACAGTTAAAAAGGACCTTCGCACAGACATAAGTAGAAATGTTGCGTGGAAGATGAAAAGATATGTTAAAGAAGTATTAGTCGAGACTATGCAAGACCAGTTCGAAAGATTGAGGTCTTATGCTGCCGAGGTACTTCGAACAAATGCTGGCTCTACTGTCATCATAGCGTTGTAGCAGTAAGTGTTTCAAGGGATGTATGTATGCTTCAATGGTTGTAAGATGGGCTTTAGAAATAGTTGTAGGAGGGTGGTTGGCGTTGATGGTTTCCATTTACGAGGTTGCTTTGGAGGAATTTTGCTGACTACAGTTGGCCTAGACGGTAACGATTGTATCTACCCTATTGCTTACGCTATTGTTCAAAAGGAAAATACACTGACTTGGCAATGGTTTATGACTTATCTTGCAGAGGATATTGAAATTGAAAATGGCAGAGGGTGGACATTGATGACAGATAGGCAGAAAGGTCTGCAAAATGTGACAAATGAGTTATTTTCTGAGGCCGAGCATCGATTTTGTGTACACATGTACACAACTTTTTTCAGTGCAGGTTTCAAGGGAAAGACTCTAAAAAATTATCTTTGACGGGCTGCAAAGTCAACCACTATCCTTGACTATAAACATTGGATGCAACAAATCCGCAACATCGGTGAGGACACATATAAATGGCTAATGGAGAGGCCTCCTCAAGAATGGAGTAGATCACACTTCTCTCTCCATTCAAAGAGTGATATATTATTGAATAACATATGTGAAGTGTTCGACAGAACCTTGAGGAGTGATAGGGAGAAGATGATTTTGACGATACTCACTTCAATGCAATTGGTCTTCATGACAAGAATTAGAAAGAGTCGAGACACGATGATGAGGTACAATGGTACGTTGTGTCCAAAAATTAGAAAGAATCTTAACAAGAACGCTGACCGCTCACGTGAGTGCACCTTACACTTATTTGGCGGGCCGAAATGGCAAGTAGATTGTAGCTCTGGCACATATGTGGTCGATCTACTAGAGCGAATTTGTGCATGTAGGGAGTAGGAGCTTACTGGCATACCATGCATGCATGCAATTGCAATGATAAGAGAATGTAGGAACGATCCAGAAGAATATGTTAACAGTTGCTATTCAATTGAAGCATACATGTGGTGCTATGATAACATCCTCAACCCAATTAACGGGATGAAATCATGGCCGGAGTTGGACATGGCTACTATCATTCCCCCGTCATGGGTTGTTCCGCAAAAAGGAAAGAGGCAAAAAAATAGAAGGAAGGGCGCAGAATGGTAGTGCATTCACAGGAGAAAACATACATGAGAAAAAAGAGATGATTGAAGATGACTTGTTCAGAATGCGGACTGCATGGCCACAATAAGCAATACCATTCTAGGCCAGATGCTCATCAGATGTGAGTACCACTAGTCCACTTACAATTTCGAATGGAATATATCAGCATCTGACTATATATTCATTTCCACAGTATTGGTTCGAAGGCAACCTGGAACCTATTGACACACACGTGCATGGCAGAGTACGTGAAATAATTTTTCGTGATATAATGTAGTATTTGTTTTGAGATTGTCGCATTTAATGTAGTTAACCATTTGAAATGTAATGATAGGATAAAATGGTTGCCATTGGTGGAAAGGGTTCATCTTCAGTAGGGAACACCACAAGGCAAAGTTCTTTTTGTTTTATGCCAACACCAATGGTTACACATGAAGTGGGAAGGGATCGTACTGCACCCGGTCCAGCAGTTACAATGCCTATTAGTGATGAACATGAAGCCGGTCAGCCTGTAGAGGATACTGTGGCAATTGTGGAAGTAGACTTTGAAGAAATGGTTGACTAGAACTGCTGGAGGGAACAGAAACGTGATGACAGGAAGCGAAAGTGATAGAAATCTGTAAATTTGTTTTGAATTAGACATATGACATGAACCAAATGTCTATTTTGCTAAATCTGTAAATTTGTATGTTGCTATGACAATGTGGTAGTGCAACACAAAAACAATGAGGAGAAGAGTACAACAACCCAGTGTTGTAATATTATATTTTGCTATATATGTATGTGGATTCTTCATGTTCTTGTGCCAGTTATGGTAGTAATTATTTTACATTGTGCCAGTTTCTTATGTAATTATTACAAGGATTGTGCCTTGAAAACATGAAAATATATGAATCAGTTGAAATAGCTTAATAAATCAGTTCGTGCCTAGAGAAGTTGCTACCATGAAGTTGCTTAATGTAGGTACAATGAGCTTATTGCACGGCCAGTTGCCAACAGGTGATCTTTTTCTGATCTATGGTTATTGTAGTTATCGTTGAATAAGAATTGTTGTTTAAGTAGCAGTGAAGTTATTCTTGAACTGTTTTTGAGTTAAAAGTGAGGGAAACAAAAACGAAAATAATAAAAAGAAGAATTAGCAAAATGTCTCCAGCATGCAAAGTCACAGGAATTACCCAAACTGTCTCTAGCATGCAAAGTCACAGGAATTAGCATAGAAATACCATCACAGGAAATATTGAAAATGTCTCCAACATAGTCATTTCCTAATAAGCTACACACGACATACACCAAAAATAACTTAAACTTAAGCTAATGCATACTACACAAACATAAATATGACAAACACACACGCCTTTTGTTGATCCCTTTCCCTTGCGCATTGTTATGTTAAAAGATATCTCCACATCCTTCTCTTCGGTTATGGTTGCAAATGTCTTGAACATGGACGACAAATCTTCTCCTTCAAATTGCATCAGTTTTGCCCTCGATGACGAAGCATCATTCCATTCAAAAAACCCATAGTCTCTTGTGCAACATAAGAACAATCGTCCTATATTTTTAGTATTCTTCTCGACCTCCATACATTTCACGAATCCCAACCCACATTCTGGACATCGTTGCTTCGATGGACAATCTGACAAGTAGTGCCTGGGCTTCCTACAACTGTGACAAATGCCCTTGTTCTTCCCAGTCATTGTAATCTCTTCTTCCGGATCGACATGATTCAATAAACAAAAACCCACATTAGCACAATTTAACTCGAAAATCAGGTTATATATGAATTCAAATTCAATAACAAGTTTCCCACACCATGTACATAAATTGAAACTAAAAACATGCAGCTAAGTTGACTGGCATATCCCTCCAGTAATCTCCGTAGATCCGAATTAAATTTCCTTTTTTTGAATGGCGATTTATGCGTGAGTTCAAAAGTAGCTACAAATTTTTCCCGGCATTGTATCAACTAGGAGGATTGGAGAAATTGATTACGCTCAACTCTTGTCGAGAACTTACCCAAACAGTTCACGTAATAGCGTCTTCTTTGATGGCCTCTAGCGACGGTAGATGCTGGTTGAATTTTTTGCCTCTACAATTCGCTACGTTCACCTAGGGGTTGCCTCCTTCAGAATTGGGGATTTTCTTTCAAACTGCAATTTTGAAGTAGAATACGAGAGGAGAGAAGGGTTTGAAGACTTTAAATGTGTTTGTTAAGATAAAGATGTGTTTGGCACTGCTTATTTGGCGTTTACGTGGAAGTAATTTTTAATTTAACATGACATGTCAAATTGTCGTCTGCCACGTGTGCAAATTCACTGACGTTTTCCATCCAATGGCCAATGGAGTTGGACGGAGCAAAGTTGAATGGCTAGTGGGACAAGTTTCAAAAGACAGTGCGTAAACCGTGACATGTATCAAAGTTCAATGGCCAGTCAAACATTTAACTCTGAACATTCTCCCGAAATGATTGATCTATTTTAGTCCAACTGATATGAATTAATTGGAAAAAAAAATATAGTTTGGGAGTTCTGAGCATTTGAATATGTATTTCGATGCAAAAGAGGATTTTGGTGTGAGGGGGTGTGTGGGGAAGATGATGAAACGGTGTTTTGTTTTGGGTTTTTTTAAATATAATTATTAATACATTGTAATTATTTTTTTGTTGAAAAATGTAGATTTGCCATTTTATTCTCTTAAAATTAGCCAAACTTATGGTCAATGTTAATTTTTTAGTCAACTAATGGTCAAATTAACAGTTTCGATCCATTTGGATTTCAATCGCGAATTTTTGAAAGGTTTGATATCGTGGTTGGCACAAATGAAAGTTCTGGGTCAAATCTGCTAATAAACGAAAGATTTAGTACCTCAATTACAATTTTCCCTTTTTTTAGAATGAAGCCCAAACAGGGGCAATATGTGAAAGGCTTGTTAATCAAATCTTTAAAGCAACCATTAAAGTAATCCATTAAATCATTCTAGCAATTAAAATAAAATCTATAAATTAAATTAAATTAAATATAATTAATTAATCGAATGACCTGATTTGAAAATTGAGATTTAAATAAACAAAAAATATTGTATACTAAAAATTTAAGGGAGCCTCACACAAATTAAAACAATACAACACAAATATCAATAATATATAGCAAACAATTACCAAAAAAAAAAAAGAAAATTTGGATAAAGTTGATCTAAAAATTGAGTCAAAACTCGAAAAAAAAAATATTAGTACAAGGAAAATACATGTGTAAGTTCAAATTAAAATTTAGATTTAATTTTTTACTCAATTGTAATAGACGATCAATAAATATGGTTTAGTGACAATTGTTCAACGTTTCACCCAATTTGAGGGATTTGAATTCACAAATTTGATGATCGCTTGGTATTTAGGTATGGTTTAATTAGTTAGTTGAGATGGATAATTGCAATTTAGGTATTGAGTGTACTTGGATTATGCAGATACGGATGAATCTTTTTAAGTGGGATGTGTTTTAGTTTTAACTGGATTAGATAAAATTTAAATTAATTTATTTTCTTTGAGTGTCCACAATGTGGGTGCGGATTGAATTGCAAAGGTGTTTATAGTAATGCGCCAAAAGGGGATTTTAGAATTAATTCATATGTTTCTACGATCTAGCCAAGCTGCAGAATTCAGTTGGATTTATCAATTATTTTTCCTCTGTTTCGTTTATGATTTATTCCGACTTCATGAATGTATAATCTTCCATTGTATATATGTTCGAGTTGCAATTCATGTTTTTCCTGACCCTGGTTGTTAAAAGACAAGATTTAAATTAGTACAAAGTCCTTTATTTAATAGTTTTAATTTTTATATCATGTTGTTCATCGCTGGGCAACTAATCATGGTTCCTATAACATATTTACTGGTGGAGGTTTTGAGAAGTGGGTATGGGGATGATCTTGAATTTTAAGTTAGGATTGCATCTGCCAATGTTTTGATTAATAATTTCTAAGAGTGCCCACAATCAAGGGCGGAGCCAGGATTTTAGTTCAATGCGGGCATAAAATTTGCGCCGTCGAATGTCGAGATTTTGGTCATGGCTTTAATGATGAACAAGAAATGGAATCTGGCTTCTTTTTTTTGCTGGCTTCGGCCGGTTGGCACCTTGTCGGAGCTAAGGAGTGAGGATGTAGTCGGAGTGTCAAGATGAGAGTGAGATGTACAAATTACAATAATGGACTGTCGGAGAGGGAAAGAGAACGGCGATTGGATTGTGGTCTGTGACGACTATCGGATTACAAGAATTTTTCTTTTTACTGGGAGTTAACTTTAATGATGTATCTAATTATAATATACAATGTACTAACGTTAAAGTTAGTAATTTTATATCATACTAGATATGGCAATGTGGCTTGTGGTTTGTGTAATTTTTAATACACTGAGGTTTCTGCAGGTGTAGAATACTGATACTTATTGTTGATAAGTTGGACTAGACTAGATTAGAGTTGTCAAGTCTCATCCAGTATTCTTCAGTTTGCTAAGTCGAACACCAATATATAATGTCTTTAACTCGATACATATTTGATGTGCAGAAATCTTTCGTAGGACATAACCATAAGGCATCAATCTTATATGAAAATGTAGACTCCGATTTACTTCCTATATGGCCTCTGTTTGTTTTCTCAGGAGGAGCAATGAGTTGTTTGAGATTTAGCTCAATCTCCCATATCTTCGCTTGCCAATCCCAACATTTCTGCTTGTTCTTCCAGCGCCTCTATTATGCTGGTGCATCTCTCATGATCGTCTGCTCATTCTTTGCGCCAATATACTAGATGTTCTCAAATCACCCACATTGGCGCCTAGTGTACCTAAGCTCAATCACATTAGTAGGAATTCTTGCTGTTATCACCCTCCTTGCACCGGCTCTCTCCAGTGGTCGTTTCAGGGGTTTCAAGGCAGCCCTTTTTCTTTCCATGGGGTTTTCTAGTGTGATTCCGGCTGCTCATGCACTAATCCTTCATTGGGATCACCCACAAATACTTGTTGCCCAAAAATCCAGGGCGGGCATCTACCCCGCTGGATGTAATGCAGCTTCACCCCTGCCCACAATGTGGGTGTCGATTGGATAGTAAATATATTTAGAGTAATGCTACAAGTACAGGAAAATCTTCACAAAAAATTTACAAGATTCTACATGACACAAATTCATTGGTAAATAACAAAATAACAAAAAACTGTCTACAAATTAGATGCTGTCGCAGCTGGATTTGTTGGGATTCTGAAAAAAAATCCTGTACTTTCCATATATTTATAGAATGCATGGAAAAGAAGGTTTATTATTGATGCATTTGCTTCTTCAATCAAGCACAGGTCAGTTGGATTCATGGTTTCGAATATCTTAACTTTTTGTTTTTTTGTTTTTTTTTGTTTTTTGTCATTTGTGATTAGTTATGTTTTCCACTTGTTCTCGGGGCATATAATCATGAATTGTATACATGTCATATGAGTTCTGTTGACCTCGAAAATTAACCTTCCAACGTGGCCAACAGATCCCAACACCTCTCATGCCTGTAAAAGTCTTGTTCCTACACACTTTGACAAATCGTTAGCCACAAGTGACCTCCTCCGGTGGTGGTGGAGTTGGCCGCACTCCAACATGTTCTTACTTTTTATCATGTGAAGAAGAGTCAATCTTGACGCATGAAGAAGAGTCAATCTTGACGCCTTCTTTTTATTGATGGGCAAAACACTTGTTCGAATGGGGTAAAAGGTAATAACTACAATAACCAATGATTTTCAACAAATTGTGCATTCAGAGCTCCTCAAAGCCTTCTTCATCCCCTTCTTCCTCTATCCTCTGAAACTCTCTCCTCCAGGTTTCCATCTGCACAGAATGTGGAACTATCGGTTGGAATAGAAATCATATTATAGATGTTAACTATTATGCATTAAACCCAAATCCATACCATCGAAAGCAACATATTGCATAATAACAAACAAGGCGAAAAGCAAAAATATTTATAGTGGTTCACCCTGCTGTGAGAGATGTGTTAACTTTTTGCCATTGCGGATGTTCATTATTAAAGATCTTATGCTTCTTAACACTCTCAAACTAGCCACTGAATATACTTCATAATATAGAATATTGGGGTAACATGATACATGTATGGAATACCTAAGATACCCCTTCAACAAAAAATAATTGGAATAATCGGCAACCCATTCGATCCAGGTTGGACGGGATAAGTTTGTGGTATAATTAGGCACCACGTTTTTTAATATCTCAACCATGGATGCCAATATATAGCTGGTGCACCTACTCACGGGAAATTACAACGGCTAAAAGAGGATTTTGAAACGTGCACATCAAACAAAAAACTCTAGTCTAGATACTGAAATAGTGTGATGAAATAAAAGAAGGGTTAAAAATGATTAAGCCTCCATTTGACAAATTTATAAATGGTTTATAAAGAAGAATAGTAGTGAATCCTACGAAATGTGTGGATAATAATTAGTAGTTGTGAATCTATGGTTGAAATTAATGTTAGATTTTTGACTAAATTCATAAGACATTTATAAACTGTTTATAAATTCTTCTCACACGGAGGCTGAACTAGATGAGGTGAGGGCACATGCGGTATGCCATAACATTGAAGTCGTTGAACTAACAAGCAGAAAGTTAATCTCCAACTGTTCAGCTGAAAAATGCTTAAACTGCCTGTTTAGCAGAGTACTTAAGAACTAGTTCGACAAATGACATGGGAGTATCATGCATTTTGTATCATTGTACATAAAGGAAGCTCTTAACCTGATCATCAGAATATCTCAGGTGCTCAGCAACAAAAAGTATATTGTTGTAGTCATCTGCCGTGGATTCTGCTCCAAGGTTCCCAGCAATTTCATCAAATGCAATAATGTCCACATTGAAACCATGGCTCATAAAAAGCTTTTCCATCCATCTTGTGGTGGACTAGATTAAGTCAAGAAAGGGGCAAATGTTTCTTTAAGTGAACATGTAATAAAATAACAGAAGTCAAAAAACAAGAATGAAGCAGCATTTCTTCCAATGTAAAGGTTATAAAAATCAACAACCTTGACTCCTCCTTCAGCTTCAGCCAACCAAGCAGGCAGTTCTCCCAAGAAAAGACATCCCTTCATGGCTAAGTTACTGACAACCTCCAAAATCTCTTTAAAATTGGCCAAATTCATTATGGGTAGTCCCTAGAAAATAAAACCAAAGTAAACAATTTGTTTAACTTTCTAAGAGAAACATTTGAAAATGTGCAAAATCATAGTGATTGCTTGGCTAAGCTTTAAAATGCTTATAAGCCGTGGGTCTCAAGGAATGTGTGGTTAAAAAGTAGTTAGAAATTGTGGATACTATAGAATGTGTGGATGAAAAAAGAGTTTGACCAACGTATAAGCAATTATAAGCTCCGCCAAACAGACATGTAGACCTAGAAGAAGTAAACGATACCAATCTCTTCCAACGGGAGCAAGTAAATAAAACGAACTTCAAAAAAATATATATATATAAATTTTCATTACAAAGTCTAATTACCTGGAAGGCCCATAGACTTGGTCTGGCACCATTAAATCCTTTACTGCGTAAAATTTGTTGAATATCAAAGGTCTCTGATGGAATATGATAGAACAAGCAGCTTCTTGGAATCTTAGCCCCAATATCTAGTCGTTAGCATATGTTATATTACTCCTAAATTGACATATTATACATAGAAAAGAAGCCTGCAGTATTAAATATTGAAAAAGGACAAAAAGTATTTCTCAAGCTTAACTCCTAGATTTCGTGCAAAACTCCCAAATTCAAGATGTAGAACTTCGAATTTCGGTGCCACAGCGATAAGTGTCCCTATATTTTTTTGGCTATTAATAAATAAGTCAATTGCTGGGTTGTTAGTCCACATAGTTTGGGTACCAGTAAACAATTTCAAACAGCAAAGGCATCGTGGTTGTTGATATACTTATAGTTTGTATGTTGGTAATGAGAAGAAGGCATTACTAATATATATCTTCCTTTGAATAGTTCAAATAATTATAGATAGATTGCCAGATAGATTGCAAATGTTGAGCATGCACGCCTTAGAAAACGGAGAAAATTTGGTGAGACGAAGTGCACCTTTGACTTTCTGAGTTGATTTTCCAAATATTGTTTCCGGAGATAAGTCAAATATTATTGTTGATACTGGCCAATTGCACCTGTATGGACGAGTGTCCATGCCATCTGTTAACAAAACAACCTGCAACAAAGAAGACAACTGGCCATATGACATCAAAACTCATGAAAACTAATTAATTTTTAGCAATCTGTGCATTGGTGTAATACCTGCCTTAGCCCATCAGTATTATTCATTGCTGTCAGCAACTTATCATCAATGAACTTAGTCGCGAGGCAGTGCTTGTGTGGATGCTGCTTCATATTAACTTGATAACCGGGAGGAACAAGGCAGCCAACATATGGGTCAATAAAAAGAGGATCTTCAATGCAGAAATGAACAAGAATTTGTCATTATGTAAGGATGTGGACATAATATTTTTTATAAGATCGTTGTATATACAAAAAAACCTTAACCAGCCATCTAAATATGCTTGTTTACAATTATTGCAAGCAAGATAAAGAAAAATTCACTCAGCCTTTCTTCTTCTAAAATATTATACTCTTTACATCCTTTTATCATTTTTCCCCGAGAATATCAATGGTGTTATGGGAATTAGAAAAAAGGACATCAGGCTTAAAGCTTTGATAATTTAATTTAATCACTGTGGTTCTTCTATGAATACGAGGTTTTAATCAATTCATAGCGTCATAGCAAGAGAATTCTTATCCAATCAGTCAGTAACAATAAAAAGTAGCAGATAAGTTTCAAATGGTTTCGAGCTAGGGAACAATTCATAGTTGAGGAATATTGGATGTTTTTGAAAGAACTGACCTGCTTCTGTTCTGTATAGATGCTATTACAAATCTTGACAACTTAACATTTCTCGTACATCTTTGTGAGCATATCCAATTTCTAAATTCACGTTTGAGACATTAACTTGCAAGTTGCAGCATGTACAGATATCATGGGCTAACATTGTAGTATATCTTCGCATGATGATACGAAAATACACCAGAAACCTGGATTTCATTTCTTAAAAATGCTCGGAATACATGGTACACACCACCATCCAAAGAAGCCTCCAGATTAAACTAATGCTAAGAACCATTCAATAAAAATTGATAGATAGGTGTTTGAAGAAATGTCTCAACGACATGTCTACATCATCGACAAAACGATTATGCATGCATACATATACACATCGAAGTGGAAATGAAATGATAATTAAGCCTGTAAGAAGGGTCTACTTGGAAAAGAAGAGAAGATCAGCTTGGAACAACAAATCATCTTCTTCGTTCTTGAATTTAGCATTCAATTTGCTACACATGCATTCATGTACATTGAAAAAGATAAATGATCATGCCTGGACGAAGGGTCTCCTCGAAACGAAGAAAAGCGCGTTCAGTGGCGACTTGCAACAAGAAGTCATCTTCTTCGTTGTTGAATTTGGCATTCAATTTGCAATTTCTACTTCTTTTCTTTGAAACGTAAAATAGTGATGGAGGTGGGTGCAGATGGACATAAGCACTTGGATTTAGGAATCTCAGTAAATATACTTCCATAATGGCTATGACAAGCCACCAATTGGCCGCTCCCCTTCGCGTTATCTCCTCGTCCACTTCAATTTCAACTGGCCATTATAGCCGTTCCCCTGGGCTTGTTTGCTTCTGAGGAAATCTGTTTAAAGCCCAAGTTCCCCTGGAGAGGCTGGAGTCGACTATGGAACCAAAAATTAATCTCCTTTCAAAATTTTCCCACAAAAAAATAGTACGCACGGTTTGGTGAAAATTAAAATTTAGATTTTAATCAAAATCAAAGATTACGAATATATATTATATAAAGGGTGCGTTTGATTGTAAATATGAAATTTGGATTTATTTATATGAAAATTGTCAATTAAATATTATACTTGTCCATTTTTTATTAGTCGGTTAACGAGAGAGAGTGAATAAATAAGAGAGAGAAAAAGTGAGTGAATTCCGTGAAAAATAAAATCCTAATCTTTCTAAAGAAAATAGTTTTCTTGATTTTGAGAAAAATATGATTACGTGACCAAAAATAAAAAAATATCTTTTATAGAAAAAAATGACAATCAAACAGCACAAAAGTAAGAATTTGGATGGAAACAACACATTTTCATAGAAAATATAAACAATTAAACGCACTCTAAATTCACAACTTTTAGATCATACATTTTATGAATTTTTATCAAAATTTACTAAAAATCTAATTATTTTTATCAAAATCTAATTCCCTTAATTTTCTTTTTCTTTCCAAAAATCCAATTTATATCCTGCTTTGCCTAAATATTAAAAATTTCTAGCAAGTCAAAATTTCTTTTTAGTTATTTATTTTATATATCTTTTAATTATTTAAGCCTCTTCACAATTTCGAGAGTTTGTTCGAAAATAGGCAGAAAAACATTTTAAAAAGCTCAATTAATGGCTCCCACTGCAGAAAACTGGAGAGAGGGGGCGATAGCGCCTCGCAAAAGAATCGAGGGTTGAATAAATTCTCGACAATGGAAAGAGACTTTTTCGATGAGGCCCCTTGTTCTTCTATCGCAGTTGATTCTATAATTCGCATGGGCACTGTAAGATCAGCTCTATCTTCCCACACGCACATTAACGAAGATTCGTTCATTTTACAAAATTTGTTACCAAAACAAATGTTGAATTTCGATGCAGGCCGGCGTAATTTGGGGTTCCTGTGTCGGTCCGTTTGATGCTAACAAATTGGGTAATTTATTTGTTTATTTGATTATACATTAATCGAGAGTGTCTATTAAGTTTTAAATTCTATTAGGTCTCACTGGCATCGCTCGTGCATCTTTAGTAGTAAGTTCTGTTTATTCCATTTCATTTAACTTCTGAAATTTGAATGGATCGTTGTGCAAGTTTGTCACCGTTTTACCTGTCTGATGAGATTTATCTGCTTTTTACTTTGAATACAGGCTAAGTTGGTTGGTCAATATGGGCTTCATTGGGGTAAGTGGTCATATGGATATTTTTTAGAGTTCTGATTTAGTTATTAATTGAGCCAATTTGGGTGCTTCAGTACTATGCAATTTCATGCTTAAGCTTGATAACTTTGAAGAATTCTTTAGCTCTAAAGTGAATTTTTTCCTACAACTTGCTTATGTATCGAAATGATTTTATGATAATTGAAGAGTTGAACACAAAATAACTTTTATTTAAATACAGAAACTCTTGTACACTTTGTTACGGAGCATATGTACACTACTCTGTTCTCTTAATTTTATTACAGCCTTGCTCCACTCGCACTGTCTCTATTCTTCTCATTCACACATTACATATGCAAACCTCATGTTTATACAAGTTTACGTCTGTGGAATTGGATTATTCCCTATATCTAGTACATCCCAAAATGGACATGGACAGCAAACCCTTGGCAATCTAGAAAACTTAATAAAGGAGAAGGAAAAAGAGATAAGAAGATAGAATAATCTAGAGTCTTCAAAAGGCTGGTGATGATATACAATAATGACCCATTTGCTGCACCAAACTTGACTGTTAGTTGGCTTATTAGCGACGTAATATCAAAACTTTGGATTTGGTATGTAGTCTAATGAGAAGATAACAAAAATAGTTATATTTCAAACTTTGAGAACTCTTCATCATGGAAGCAATATATTTGCAGTGAATAGAACATGGAAATGGTAACAGATGTAGGAATACTGATTACTGACAAGGGAACAATGTAGATAGTCGTAATTTTTTCTTTCCAAAATGGGAAAATGAGATAGTAGCTACAACTGGAAAGAACCAAAGGTTTTGTTTCCCGAAATAAAGTTAAAGACGCATTAGATAGTCCTACTTAGTTTCTCTCTCTTTTTTGTGGTGTAGCACTAGGCTTTTTTGGCTCGACCCCCAAGAGCTGCATCTAATTCAATAGTCTTGATGGCTGCAGTGCCAGCTTCATCCTATATAGAGAAGCATTTCGAAATCAAGTAATAATGTGTTCAATTCCTAAATTGATAAAATGTGGTGTGTGTGTGTGTGTGTGGGGGGGGGGGGGGGGGGTGTCAAAGAGAGGTTAAAGGTGTTAGTGATAATTTCAAAACCTGTAAGCATTCTGTTTGTTCATCAAACTAGGAAGTGGACCTCTTCTACAACAAAGTTTGCATGGGTTTGGCCTTGTAACATGACAACACTGTCATCAGAGTTGGATTTGTTTTTGGGTAGGGTTGTTTCAGTGGAAGAGAGACATCTAGGTCATTATACTTGTGATAACATGGAGAGAAAGAGGAAAGAACAAGACTTTATAACTTAAGCTCTAATACAAAATGGCTTTGAGAATGACGATCTGCTTTCCGAAGGTTTCACATATTGGCCCTTCTGTGCTCCCTCACTCACCCACCTTTAGCAACCAGTCTTTTTCACATATCCCTCTCCCTTATCACTACATTTTTCCCTCCTACAATTTTATGGTTCGTGATTTTCCTTCTTATTCCTGAAAGGTTATCTAACCGGATTGTAGTTCTTCTGGGTTGTGCAAGGTTGTTGGAGGTTTTTTTCAATATTTAAGCCTCAACTTCAAAGTTGGGAAGCTTTCTATGGTTATTGGGTTGCTTGAGGTTGAGAGTCGGAGATATTGGGTTCAAAGTACTATACTTGGTCATTGCACACACAATTTTACAGTCTCAATTCAACAGTATTTAATAATATATTGGCAATTTATTTGTAATTATACTGGGCAAAGGGAAACAATTCTACTTGCATTTATAATCATGCAATGGAACAAATCCAAAACATTTGACTTCATTTGCAAACTGTTTGACCTATCTTTCTATGCCATGCATCGTTGTTTCCATTTTATGTCTTTTATGATTATATTTAATGTATCTAAGTGTGGGCGCATTTTATAAAAAATCATCAATCTATATTTAAATAGACAATTTCACATTTTTACAGATGTTATAATCATGATCTCGAATTTATCAATTTCTGTTGATTTTCGTCTAATGAGATTCATTATCTGGTCTTAGGATTTTTTGCGGCAATTTTTTCTTTCACTCACTGTGGAATTCAAAGATATCGCGGAAAAAAAGATTGGGTTAGTGTATATATATTTAGTTTTTCAAGTATTTGTTCATTAGAATTCTATTAACAGTAAATGAATGCCTTATTACAAATTACTTGCCTTTTTGGGCACCCCCGAGATAGGGAATGGGCTAACTAGTGTAGCACAGAGCTATGAGTTGACATTGTCTTTTCTGTTATTTATTGAATAATATGTCTACGATTCTTCTATATGTCATTACAAATTGAGATATTATCTGCGCATCAATCAGTGATTAGGTTTGGAACTTCCATTACATCATAAAGCGAAATATGCATTTACTTTTTTGGATATCAAGTTACGATATACTTTAATCGGATTTATTTTGAAGCAACCGACATGTTCAAATATACACTCACACATACATATAAATATATGTATGCATGCATGTCCAAAACAAAATATGAATGCATTCACCTATGGGTAATAAACTAACCAGTAAATAGATGTGAAAAACAGTCATTGGACTGCTAATCTCCTTCACAAAGACACGAATTTGCTTCTACAAGTGTTTAATACCTTCCTCTTCCTAGAAATGTCATTTTTTTTGAAGTTCCAGAGGTAATATAGAAGTCAATATTGGTATCCCTAGTTCATATTCTATACATTTCATAATTTCTGACCATGATATTTATAACTTTGCTAACTTGATCATATTATTCAAAGCTCAGAGATTTTTGAAATGTTAACAATACTACTTACCATAGCTTGTTTTTGGTGTCCACATCCTCTTAGGCATTTAACGTAGTGAATAAGAATATAAGATGATCACAGGGCCAGATATTGAGAAAATGAATGTATAACCACCCATTAATATTGGAATGTGGTTGTTATAGAATGACACTTAATATTTGTTCCTAAGGTACATTACTGGGCCTTTATTGGTAACTTACTGTTGATGGTTTATATTTGTTTTTCTCCTGCAGGTTAATACTTTCACTGCTGGTGTTGCTGCAGGGGCAGCTTTTGGTGCTGGAACCCGAAACTGGAAACAGGTTGCTGGTGTCACTGGTCTTGTTTGTACTTTGTATCATTTTGCTGAAAACTCCAGATCCGTCTAATGCACTGCAGGACTGAACAAAGGTGACGTTTCTATATAACTCATCTACTCCTGGAAAAAAAAAATCTCTATCACCTTTTCTTTTTCGTTTATTTTTTGGATAATGGAATTTCTACTGCTAATTTCATTTCAATTATATTTCAGAATAAGGTGTTCAAAGCTCTGAAGCTCTTTCATGGGACCTATGATTCCACTTGGAATTAAGCCCCCGTTTGGCCCCCATTTTTCGAAAATGAAAATGGGTGGAATAGTGTTTTTTAAAAAATTGAGTGGTTGAAAAATAAGGAAATGTTTTTGGTTCACGTATAATATTATTTTATGAAAAATTGTGTGGTTGAAAATAAGAGGGAGAAAAATAGAATGTAATAGAATGTAATTTAATGAGATTCAAACATGGCTAATTTACATCCTGTGACTTTTTGTTAATGCTGGAAATCTACTAACTATTTGTTCGATAGGCTATACTACTGATATATGGGTGTGAGAAATAGTGTGGAGTACTAGAAATTATTCCAAACTTCTTTACAACAGCCTACTATACAGTAGTGAGGACTGGCACCACAGGTTTATCACTTAGAAGCTATGCAATTGCTCAAATCCCAACCAACCATGTATGATAGTCAAGGGTCCTGGAACCCTCACTCCACACGATCATACACACACGTGATAATCACAGACGATTGAAATACATATACTTAAATATCCATGTCACGTCTTTCCTATCTTTATTAAATGCTGCAACTACTAATGTACTAGCAAACTCTTACTATGCCTTCAATTTTTTCACAACTACCTTCACCCCTCTTTTGTTGAATCTTCCACCAGTTTTGATGGAAAACAGAAGCAGATAGGAAGCTTATGTGGTGTGGAATCCAAAATATTGAGTCTTGTTTTTCTGGATGATCATGAAGTGGCCCTACAGTCTGCGTTTGATTATTATTATTATCATCATCAGGGGACTGAATTATACATTATATCAGCTGAATTGTCCAACCATGGACATGGACTGAGACTGAGTCCTATTATGAAGAATGATTTCATGTAGTTTCAGATTATGCAGTTTTATTCTGAACTCATTTGATCATTTCATATGAGAAATTTTGACAGTTTCTGTCATTTAAGAGATTGTGTAACTATAATGAGAATTTGAGGACTGATTTGCTCATATTTAAAGGCTACTGATTAACTCACTACTGAGATAATAGGTTGAGGACAAATAGTGCAATATTCTCTCTTTTTCACAAATTTGATAAAAAAGATTTAGCACGTCTTGAGTCCCATTCTTTAAAGAGTAATGTTATTTCTAGTGGCTCACTGTCATAGTCGCGCTACATGATATATGTGGCGATTAGTAATTTGATGTATTAATGTAGTAAAAATTTTTTGTTTTATGCATTAAATCACTCACCGCTATAAATATGTCACGTAAAGCGACTGCGATAGTGAGCGATTGCAAATAACATTATTCTTCTTTAAAATTTATATATATATATATATATTTATGTTTTTTTTATGTAAATTAATCTTTTTTCCTAATTTTGAACCATATATTATTCAAAAAATTACTATTATAAAATTTATTTTGATGAAATAATGGGCATGAAACGGGGACTAAATATCAAAAAAATTAATGTGCAATTTTCATGCAGTTGGACTGTAATTACATCTCTCGTGTCCTTTTGTCTGCTAGATTGGAAAATTGGTCTCAGAAAATCTATTTACCTTTCTCATCATGTCCACCGAAGGGGTTCTACATCTAAGTCAAAGAAATCATATACAAGTTGAGATCTGCAGTTCCAAATTGACTGTTAAACTTGCTATTCATCCAATAATTCATTGACACGTTATTTTAAATTAACATGTCTAACTTTTCTCTTACTGTTACTTGTAAATAATATGTCAATGAATCATTGAGTAGATAGCAAGTTGGATAACCAATTTTGGACAACAGTTCTAAACTTTACTGGTTTGCACATAAGAGATTCATTTTTCTGCTATGTGAATGGAATTAGATTTGATACAATGGTGAATAAAGAAATCAAAAAAAAGTTCTTTAGTTAATTTGATAAAATTAAGAAAATAAATATGCGTTAAGATTTATGATCTATTTGTTAAGCTTAGTATACTAAAAAATAAACATATTAAAAAGTTCACTAATATTGTACACTTATTTAGACCATTGAATCGAAGTATTTGTTAGTAATTTTGATGAATTATAACTTATTTTGTGTTTACTCGACGATTAGAGTTAAAATGGAGGAAATAAACGAAAAACAAGCAAAAGCGAAAGAAATTCAAAGTTTGGGGGATCAAGGTGCAAACATTCAATAGTTGATTCAGATCACAAAACGATGATTGAAGATCACATTAAATCAATCGGTTGCAATTGGAAGTCAATTAAGTGAAAAATTGGGGAAAAAAATTAGTTTTCAATCGAAAAGTTATGCTCTAAATTTTTAGCTTCAAATTGAAACCGATATCTTGGATATAAACGTTCGAATTGCAGAAATGATACTCTAGAAGAATTGTAGCCATTTGAGTTATATTTCTAACGTACTTTGAATCACTTCAATTAGTTAGAGGGAAAGAAATTTATGACGAAAATACTGATGACTGTTTAGAGGCAAAACGACTCATGCACAGACCACCTCTTTCCCAACCAGTGAGCCAACGGCTGAACCTGCGCGGGCATGCCAGAGACTATAGTGCGGTCTCACCATGTACTTTGGGGGCCTGAGTTGCAAATTTTCAGATTTAATTAGAATTCATCTTAAAATCTAATTTGCACGCGATTTTGATGGATTTTCAACTCCTATAAATACCGAAATTGGGAAACATATTGAAGGAACTCTTTCTAGCCTCTTAATATACAATAATATCATAAAATTCATTAAGCTGTTAATTTACCTATTTGGAGAGATGAGATCAAACCTAAACAAGAAATTGAAGGTCAATTACATCAAGAACTTGAAGAATTCAACATTGGACTTGAAGACCCAGATTTCTTGCATTACTTCATGATCTAGGTGATATATTCACATATATAAAATTATTCTAGGTTAACTCCCTTTCCGTATTGGATGAAGATGAACTATTTTGTTTATTTATTTTAATTGAAGACTAGTAGTTTAATAATTCTAGCATTTCTTAATCAATTGCATACCCATTACATTATTTAATTGTTTGATCACCAAATAAATAATTAGTTGCTTGTTATAGTATTGAGAAACTCACAATAATTAATCATACGTGACAAAATGAACATATATATAATAGATGTTATGAATAATCATTTATAATTTGTGCAATCACATTGATAATCTGAGATTCAATGCATTCTACGCTTACAAGTTTTGCACGATCACCCACCATTATTGATGGGAAGACTTTGTAAAATAGCTAGCCCAAAATGCTATTTGAGATATTCCTCCTACGTAACATCCATAGCATCTTTAAGAGGTCGTTTGATTCCCATTTTTATCAAAATGTATTTTTTCTCTCTTCTTTTTAACCACACATTTCTTCATTAATATAATATTACACGTAAATTAAAAAATTTTCCTTATTTTTTATCCACACATTCTCTATCAATATACTATTCTAAAATTCAATTTTTCAATAAAAATTGATATCAAACACCCTCAAATAACATTGATATCATATCAAGTCATGTCATAAGTGGCTTCTTGATTACTTTAGCATATCATGTCGTACAATTATAAATAGGGAAAATTGCATCAACGGTTTCTGACCTTTTCACTTTTTGCAAATTTTACTCTAATTTTCATTTGTGCCAACGTAGATTCCTTACCTTTCATAAATATGCGCTTGAGGTTTATCTGGACGGAAACCTCCAAATCACAATCAATTGAACGGAAAAATTAAGGAATCAACATCTAATAAAACTATTCAAAACACCGTTCAAAAATATCGTCCAAAAAGTATCAACATTCAATAAAACAGTCGCGGTAGCAGATAGTTGAAAGAATTTTTCCGACCAACTGACTGTGTTTTGGACGATTTCCATCCAAATGGATCTCAAGTGCATATATATGAAAGGTTAGGGGTCCTCGCTGACGCAAAATGAAGGTTGCGATAAAGTCTGCAAAAACGAAAAGATTATGAACTGCCGCTGCAATTTTCCCTTATAAATATAGGTCCCTGTTGGATATAGATTAAAATCACATAGTTTTATAAATTTTTATAGAAGTTGATGAAATGTGTTGTTAAAAAAAGTTATGAATTTTTGTAAAATGTATGATTAAAATTAATTGTTGATTTTAACTTAAATTTTAATCAAAATTTTAAGCCATATTCTGCAAAGGAACTACTTGTCAAGCTTTATCATTTGAAGTCAACCATGATTTAATCGCACGTAGACAGTTTGAATTTAACATCACGCACGTACAAATTAATGTATTAGTTAACGGTTATAAGGAATGCCAATATTAAAATTACACTTGTGATAGAATTAAACATTTGTACAAGACCCGGCTTGGATTCCCTCGAAGAGTGACGTCTTTGAATATTGTTTTTCAATTAAAGATCTATAAATCATGGCGAGCGTCTTCCTTTCATATTTCGCCTATAACAACGTCCGTCCTTTCCAGTACTTGGCATCCATCCAATGTTGAAAAATTCACAAGAGATGAGTTTGTATCATCATCAAAACAAAAATGAATAAAACACAAGAAATGTACAAATCAAAATAAAACAACAAAAGGATAAAATACCCGAAAATGGTGGTTAAACGTGTATATGAAATGTTGTCCTAAAACGATATTTCCCCCTTTTATTCTTGAGGGTTGCTTACGTGAAATACCTGCAATAGCTCTGAGATTTAAACAAGTTTAAGATTAATCACCAAACAAAAATGAAGAACCTTTAAGAACAATGAGCACTAAAGAGAAACTCTGAAATTTGGATGATTTGAAATTTTGTAATCAATTATAATGTTAGTCCTCTTTAATTTCTATCATATAACATCTATTTATATAGATAAAATGCCCAACGCACGAATAGACACAACCATGGATGAAGAGATGAAATGGACAACGAAAAGACACCAAAATTGTGTCTAAATATACAGGGCCAACGCACGAATAGACACAACCATGGATGAAGAGATGAAATGGACAACGAAAAGACACCAAAACTGTGTCTAAATATACAGGGCAGCGCGAGTGCGCCTAAGCAGCCGTTTCCATAACCTTTTCTCTCATTCGATCCTTTTGCACTTTCTTACTTGAAAAGTGTCTCAAACATCCAAATTACTCAATTATATCATTTGAACGATTTTCATCATCCAATTCCAATAGTTTGCTTAATGCATAGCGATCGAATACAAATTCAAATCAAGATGTGCATTTCGTCAAGTTGATGCAAGAGAAGATATGCTAGGTGGAATAATCGTATACCAAAGACTTGTGTTATAACTTGCGTGCAATAACTTACAGGAAATTTATAAAAATACTTCTTGCACTTGGGATGTTTTGCAAATTTACATTCTACAGACTACATTTTACTTATCAGTGACAAAAAAGCCTTTTGGTTAAAAAAATTACTAATTTTTCATTATAAATAGCAAAATAGACAAAGTTACTAACTACAAAAACGATTCGCGCCCTTTATATTACTAATTTATTTTTTTAAAAAACACACAATTTTTTATTTGTATGACTAGTTTATTACTAATCTTCAAAATTTAATAGCTAGAGGCTTGTAAAATTTTATTAAGCCCGTGTTTAGAGTAGTTAAAATATTTGATAATAATTTAAATTAAGGGCAATTGGCGCAAAATGTCCCTACCTTTCAACTTCATTGTGGAAAACGTACTCACCTTTCATTTTTTGGCATTTTTGCTCTCAAATCAACCTTTCATTGCGACGAAAGTCCTTCCGTCCAACTCCCGTCACTTCTGCCGTTAATTAAAGAGAGAGACTCAATTTTTTTCAAGTCATCAAGGGTAAAACCGTCCTCACCAAACTAAACCCTTCATTTTCATCTTTTTCTTCAAACAACAAGAGGCAGTTCCCATTTCATTCCCTTCTAGTTCTTCAAAAATTTTCATTTATCTTCCATTTCTACAATTTTTCCTCCATTCTCCTCTCGTATGGTTGCATATTAGCAGTCGACGTAGTGGAAACCTATGTTGAGAGTTTTTCCAGCAAGCGACGCGACGGTAAGAATCATTATTTGTCGGTATTTTCGTTTTCCATTTCATATTTTGGCGCTTTACATGATTGAGTGTATCTGTAGGATTCTGATAAAGTTTATTATTGTTACACAGGGCTTCAAGGAACAACATGTTTTTTCCGTTTCTGAGAAAGCCCGACAATGATCGACCCACCTCTAGCACCTTGTTAGGATGAAAACTCTCTACCAAGTTCTATTAATTTTTTGGCTTTTTGTTTTTATTGTTCAGTACACAAATTGTCATCAGGTAGTGGATTCAATATAGCACTTTAGGAACCTGTTTTTGGTGTTTAGTAACCTATTTTTGATGTTCAGAACTTATGTTGGTTGCACAGTGGATATTTTGCACATTTGAAATGAATTGTATCTATTTTTGCTTCAGTTTTCGTTTATTTTAGCTTTAGCAGGTAGTGGATATTTTTTTTTCAGTTTTCGGTCAATTATTGGATGAATTGTGTCTCAAATTCTGTGATAGAATTGTATATTTGGCGACTTTTGAGTTGATGTGTATCAACAGGTGGTATATGGAAGAAAACAGGGTACTCTCACCAAAATTTTTTAAAAAGGTAGGGACGTTATTAGCAAATGTTTCTACAAGGTAGGGACGTCACTCGCCAATACTTTTTATAGGTAGGGATGTCTTAAGAAAAATTATAACTACGTAGGGATTATTAGCGCAATGTTTATTAGATTCCTAAAAAAAGTGAACAAGACCCGTCATCTTCACCAATAAGCCAAAATGAGCCAGTACCATTGAAATGATAAATACACAGCACCCATTTCCACTTGATCTTCGCCATTTACCCCGTGGTCACAATGAGCATAAACTAGAAATGAACATCTAGTAGTTGTCTCTATAAATTGACCACTCATTCAATATATGTCTTGCTACATTTTTCTAGAAACCCAACATTAAAGCAGCAATGGTGGACCTGGTGGTCAGATTTCACCATATATGTTCTTCACGACATTTTTTCCTTCATTTAATGTAATAATTTAAAGTATTTTCACACCCATTTTCCAACTATTGTTACTATGTGGACTACGTAGAAGGTGGGAAGAAGGGTTTAGTTGGGTGAGGACAATTTTACCCCTGTTGACCGACAAGAAATTGGGTCTCTCTCTTTAATTAACAGGAGAAGTGACAGGAGATGGACAGAAGGACCTTCGTCGCAATGAAAGGTTGATCTGAGGGCAAAAATGCCAAAATATGAAAGGTGAGGACATTTTCCACAATGAAATTGAAAGGTAGGGACGTTTTGCACTAATTACCCTTTAAATTAAAGTTAACAACTAATTTTCACTATAAATTTTATGGGATTCATAATTTTTATTAATTTTCTATTACGCATTTCATTAAATTTTATTAAAATCTAAAAATTTAATTTTTAGCTATACCAACCAGGACTTAATAATATTTTCTTGTGTTATTTGGAAAATTGATATATAATACTGTCATAAATAAGGCAATGCACTTCATCTTCCACTTACACCTTCAATATTTCCATTTCTTAGTAAACGAGTAGACTTGATATATCCATTTATTACATCTATAAAATCTAGTTTGGTTAAGTTTAAACAAAATAAAAGTTACTAATCTTGAACTTAAGTATCAAAATAAATATCTATAGTTACAAGTTTCATCACTAAAAAGATTATTACTTATATAAGACAATATATTTACTCATAAGCAAACTTTTTAAGCTTATCAATTTACCTATCATATTCTACAAGAATCCACTCCATTCTACAAATCGTTTTCTTTTTTTTGGATCCATTCCCAGGTTTTCTGTTTGTAACCCTTACCATCTCAGTTCAACATTGTCCACCGTTTCGAGGGGACCTCGCCTCATTGGATAAGGGTGAGCCACTCGATAAGGTGGTGGCTCTCTATTCGACAATCGCACCACATAAGATAATGTGACCGTCCCACCAAAGTACTTCTCTATAGAGAGAGAGAGGAGTGAGTTTAAATCCATGAATGCAGTGTAGTCATCATCAATTGTACATTCATGCATCTGATAATACAGTGGTGTGGGTGATATTGATAAAGCTACTTGTACACCTCCTTTTACCACTTGGTCGACAGATGGATAACGTGATAATTTTATAATGGTTGGATTAAATGTATAAGATGTGAAAGGTGGTGTGAGATTGTGCCAAATGTAAATTCGATAAGTCATGTGTCAAAGGAAGTGTACATGTAGCAAAATTGAATATGTGGTTAATATACATACAAACATCTTGTTGACATCGGTTTTTGAAGGGTTGATGCGGACAACAAATCCTTTTCTACTCACGTCCGTGCAAGCTTGTTCTTATACATTTAGACAAAATCGTTAGTCGCATGTAGCCTTCTCCAATATTGGGGGAACCGACCCAAGCATTCCGATAGTCAAGTTAGTTTAAGGGAAGTAATATATTTGAGTGTGTGACACGATTTAGACGTGAGCCACTTGGATGTTCGGGTACCGAGAACGTGTATGAGTGAATGAAGAGAGAGCAATATTACAAATATTTTGTAGTTAAAATTCCAGTACTTTTGAGCTAGTGTTAGTTGTGAGCTTTTATAGTAATATGGGTAAAGTGTTGGTCGTTGGATGTAGAAGTACGTGACTTCATTTTACCGTCAAAGCGTCTCCTCATAGGTGCAACATCATACATCATAGGCCGTACAATATTTTAATGTTTTGTGAAAACGTAGTTGCTCTACGGTCTAGGTCTGAGTACCTATGTGGTAGATTAACAATACAAGACATTCTTTTGTTACAACATGGTTCACATCAATCAATCATAGGAGCTTTCTTGGAAGATGTGGACATAAAAGATGCTCCTTATGATTAGGAGGCTTCCGCTTCGGTTATGCAGGCTTCGGCCTCTTACATGACACTGTGCTAGAGCTTGTGTGTGATGCTTCGACTGAGTTGCCTTATTGATTCATCATCTTTACCTTATGACTTTGATCATCTCTACCTTCTGATTTCGGTTCGATTCTTGATGACATGGAGTGGGGGCCTTTGTTTAGTTTGTACTTGATTGTCACGTGGGTCTCTTTTGACGAGCGAAGCGTAACACATCTATCCATTCATATCAATTATCTAGAATTCAGGGATATGGGTTTAGCCTACACGTAAAGCTCAGCTAAATTTTGGAATCTTCCGAAACCAAAAATCGCAATCATACAAACCCAACTTTCATTTTCTAATCTATATCTCTCTCTTACATTCATCCAAACATATTTTCTCATCTTTGAACGGCGGGGAATGCTTTCTTTGTTTATTTTTCTCTCCTTATTTTCCTGCTTCTGCAGATCCAGTATATATATAGTTTAAAGGTTTGAGATTATTAATGTTGAATCTTATTTCTTAGCTCCGTCAAATTAAAAATGGACGTTGAATATCATGAGGTGGGTTTTCGTTAAGCGGTGTTTAAAAGTGACTTTTTTTTAGTTGTTTTTCTTGATTTTGGCCGTGACTTTTTAACACATTTTCTAGCCAAGAGAACCCAAACCTTTCGTTTGTGTTATTATATTTTGTAATCCAATATATGTTTCTGGATATATGAAATCTATCTGGGTTTGAAATGAGAATATATATTTTTTCTAATGGGTGGTTCTTGTTTGATTTTGAATGGGTGTAGGAATACATATATAATTCCAGAGGTGTGCAGCTTTTTACTTGCAGATGGTTACCTTTTTCTTCTCCAAAGGCCCTTGTTTTTCTCTGTCATGGTCTCTCTCTCTCTCTCTCTCTCCTCCATACATACTCTCTCTCTCTCTCTCTCTCTCTCTCTGAGACGTTTCTTCTTAGAATTTTTTTGTTGCAATTTTTTTTTTTTTTTTTTTAATCTGATTCAAGATTGATTAATGAGGTTGCAGGTTATGGCATGGAATGCAGTAATTTCATGAAAGGTAATAAATGTTTGTAAATGTTTTCCCATGTCATCTCTCCTACTCTTCTCCTCTCTTTAATTTCTTATTTTAATTGGATTTTAATCCCAGTACATATCTATACAGGCCATGAATGCATGTTTTCTCCTCAATTAATACTGTATTTATTGAATAATTAGAGAACTAACTGCAGCTGTTAACTCTGGAATTCGTTTGTTTGGTGAATCTTGATTTGTGAAGAGATATACGGTATTTAACATATTCATACCTCAGACTATTTTTCACAAAGTGGTGAGTGAACGTATCTATTGATTTGTGGAATGGTTAATTTAATTGCTTACATTTCTCGAACACCTTTAACAATAACGAACCTTTTAGTACAATTTCCTTCTTCAGACTGTAGTTTCTGTAAACGTTTTACAGAAGTGTATGTTTAACATATAAGCGGTATTAGATTGTAATTTGTCTTCCAATATACCTTTATAAACATCCTAGGAATGAATTAATCCCCCGTTTGGCTTGGATAAAAATTAGATTCTTAGTAGTTTTCGATAAAAGTTCTATGAAGTAGTATTCATCATTAATAACAACAATTATGTTGCTTAAGCAAGCCAGTCTACGTGGTATTAGCAGTCAGCCAAACCAAATTTGTGTTCTTAGCTGCTTAAATGGAATTTGGTTAGGCTGCGAGACGAAGCTAGCTAGTCATGGATATGCCCTTTTTGGTATTGATTATGAAGGCCTGTCTTGAAATAAACCTAATTTACTTCTTAGCACTGATAAAATGGAGTTTGGTTAGGCTGCGGGACGAGGCTGGCTATTCATGGATATGCCGTGTTTGGTATGGATTATGAAGGCCATGGACGGTCCATGGGTGCTCGTTGTTACATCAAAAGATTTGAAAACATTGTCAATGATTGCAGTGACCATTTCAAGTCCATTTGTGGTAAGTTAACAAACTTTCCTCCTCTACGTTTGTGTTGATTTTTCAGAACCTTAACTTCCTAGAGGAATCATTTGTTTTTAACAATATTTTACAATGTTGACCGTGTTATTATGCTCAAGCTAGCAATGATAGTGCACGACAACTCCATTAATTTCTATTCTTTTAATAAAAAAGAACCATTTGGCCTAAAGAAATTGCTCCACACACACTTGTAATGCGTGTCAAGTCATACTTAAAAATGCATTTGGTTATAACTTTACTCAAAAGGATTTACTTTCACGGATTCCAGGGCAGGAAGAATACAGGGGAAAAAGAAGATTTTTATATGGGGAGTCAATGGGCGGGGCAGTCTCTCTGTTAATACACAAAGGAGACCCTGCTTTCTGGCATGGTGCTGTTCTAGTTGCTCCGATGTGTAAGGTTGTACGAATATTCTTTATTTGGTATGGAGTCGGTTGGACTTAAGTACGGTGTTGAATATTCTTTATTTGGTATGGAGTCGGTTGGACTTAAGTACGGTGTTAGACATGAAGAACGTGTTTGGTATACGATGACTCAGCACTATAATAAGCATGATTTAGTTTTATTTTCATTTTTAATATTGTCTAGTGCTATCAGTCCTCCCTACCAATCATACCAAAAAAGGTATGCAATTGTCAGATTCGTAAAAACTTATCACTATATGCTTTGGGTGAAGATCTTCGTGTCTGACACAAGTGCTCAAGTTTTTATAAGAGGCTTCTTTTATTAACATGGGGGAGGGAGAAATTTGGACAGTTGACGAATCTAATTTATCTTTTTCATTTCATTAGATCTCTGAGAATGTTAAGCCACACCCTCTGGTTATTAGTCTTCTAACTCGGGTGGAAGACATAATACCTAAATGGAAGATAGTTCCTACGAAGGATGTTATTGATTCAGCCTTCAAGGATCCAATTAAACGAGAAGAGGTGAGCCTTTCATTACTTTGGAGAACTCGAAAAAATTTCGTAAATGGCTTATGTGATGTGTCTCTGTAATTACTAATTATTCTGCAGATACGTTGCAACAAGTTGATATACCAAGAGAAGCCGAGGTTGAAAACAGCTCTCGAAATGCTCAGAACTAGCATGAACCTTGAAGACAGTTTGCAAGAGGTCATTCTCACACAGTAAATATTAAAATTTTAATCTTAGCCAAACATGAAGCAAAATCTTTCCTAAAACATTATGAAAAATCAGTTTCAAATGTCTCGATGGAAGCGATTGAAAGTACATTGGTTGATTGAGTTCCCATATTTAACTGATGCTTTTCGACAGGTGACGCTTCCATTCTTTGTGTTGCATGGTGAAGCTGATACAGTGACGGACCCGGAGGTGAGCAGGGCATTGTACGAGAGGGCAAGCAGCACAGACAAGACCATAAAACTATATCCCGGGATGTGGCATGGTTTGACATCCGGCGAGCCAGATAACAACATCGAGATTGTCTTCTCCGATATTGTATCATGGCTTAACAAGCGTTCTTGTGAAGACGTGAAACCAATTCACCAATCTATCCCGGTTACTGAGAAATTAAATGTCATGGAGCTAAACAGGCAAAAGCAGAATAAAACAAGGTCGCACATGAAATACATCTGTGGCTGGAAGGGCCGTGGTACGTGCCATCACTCTGCAATGTAGCGTCCATTTTTGTGTATAAGCGCGCATATCCTGGAGAAATATCGAAAAATCCCTAATCATAGTGATCACTTTTTTGTTTTCCTGACGATACTTGGTAACTTATTTCATTTGAGGTTGGGAATGTCTGATCCTAAAAAAAAGGATGGTATAGAAATAAATTACAAAAGTTGGGTACGAAAGGTGCAAATTTTCCAATCAAACGAGTTCTGAATATGGCCATGGCTTAGCGTTTTGAAGGTTGGGGGATTCCAGCTAGAAAGAAAAGTTCAGTTATTCTTGTTTGGGCTATTTCAGTAGTCCATCATCCTTGACATCTCTAAGGTTATTTGGGTTAGAATAAGGGAAATTTGCAGCAAATGTCCTCAACCTTTTAAAAATATACAATCAATTCCAGAACTTTTGACCCTGGACAGTTCCTTCCAAAAGACCATTAAGTTAGACGAAAATTACGTCGTTTAGAACCACAACTACCACCTCCACCATTTCACCGCAACCGTCACCAAGGGATCTTCCCCTGGTTTCGCCTTCCACAGTTGTTATTTTTATCACCGATACAGATCATTAGCTAACAAAATATTTAGTAGAGCCCATTGTTTACTATTCAATTGTAACTGTTAAAAAAAATGAAAGTTGAACATTTAAATGTGAAGAAATATTAAGTCGATTTCTATACAATGAATCATTCAATTCCTTTTTGGGTGCCAATACAGGTCACACTAGGTAAACAACACTGATCCATTGAAATTTTGTTATATGTTATTTATGACTGCAAATAGCACTTAAAATAAAAAGAGACAAATTCTAAAATAACCACAAAAGGCTGAAAGAGAAAGTAAGGTGCTGCTCATGATTCTACAGAGTGCACCTGCTATCCTTGTTGGATGCTGGGATTCAACAATCTTTTTAGCTAAGCATAGATAGAAAATCTTAATCATGCCGAGGCAGCATTTTCCTTGTGATCTCCAAAAATTCGTTGCCGAAAGTCGGAGACCATCATTGGAAGACCCTTCCGTAGAGGTACTTTTGGTTCCCAACCGAGAAACTCCTTCGCCTTTGAGATGTCTGGCTTCCTCTTGTGGGGATCATCCTCTGTGTTGGGCCGGAATTCTATCTTAGCATTTGCATCGATGGTTTCCTGAACCACCTGTGTTCCAACAGAATTAAAAACTTCAAATGATCTTGGAGAAACACCTATCTTATTCACCGAAATCAATGTATAATTTGTGACATAAAAGATAAAACGTCAGTTCATTTCATACTTGCTTAATACACTAGTCAGAACTAATTAAACGGCTTTCAGATTCAATGTTTAAGGTCATTTAGAAGGGAAAAAACAATTTTCCAATGCCCTTGCGACCTAGTGTTGAGCTACTCAATCAAGATCAATAGATGATAGTTTCCAGGAATGCATTTTGCAAAAGAGTAGAGAACCAAGTACGTGAAAAGCTGGCAAGTCTGAAAAATTATATGAATGTTGATCAGAAATAATTCCATGCAACGTCTGCAAATAGAAGCGTGACATACCTGTGCAAGTTCAAGCATAGTGAATTCACCAGGGTTTCCAAGATTGAAAGGTCCAACATGTTCTCCTTCCATCAACCGCATCAGGCCCTCAACCTACCCAACCGAACACAAATTATAACTAACTATTACAAGCCATCTTAAGTATTACAATTTATGAAAGCAGTCGAGTGTAAATAATCAAAATTCTTTAAAAAGTGTAAGGTCTTCATTCAGTGTGAGAATTTAAGTGTGACCAGAATTCTTTGTTTAAGATAAGTGCATATTAAGAAGAATTCTATTTGGAATACTAGTATGGGATTCTATTCAAATTTATTTGACAAATTCTAATTGAAGTTCTATTTGGAAGCTCTATTGGGAGTTGGAATTTGCGTTGGACTTGAAGAAATCAAGATAAGAAAACTTTTAGGCATCTATTTCATCTATAACTCTACTTCTAATGCTTGAATTTTTTCCTATATACATTTGGCTCTTCTCTACAATTTAGTTGGATTGTTTAACCTCATTATAAATTAGACAAATTATAAATACAAAATCTTTGTATTTTTTCTCCATAATATAATAAAATTTCCACTCTACAAATTATTTTATTCTTATATTCTTGTGATCAACTTTCTTCATATTGTGGCTATAATCTCCTATTTTCTCCAACAATTTCGTATTGGATTAATTCTGTATCATCTTCCGCTTTTTGCAACAAAGTGGTTTTAGGTCAGGTTTCGATTACAACGAATGGTATCGAAGCTTTTAGTTTTGAAATTTTTGGGAAGATCAAGATTTTTCATGATGGAAACTATGGAGTATGATATTCCACTATTAGATCGCAATACAAGATTTTCATTGTAGCAGGTTAGGAGGCGAATAATGCTCACTTATATGGGATTAACTTTGTTGGGTTTTTGGCCCACTTCATATTTGTTGTTTAAAGACACAATCTTATATAGTTATGATCTCACCATTGAAGAAATCTTTAATGCTCTATTTTCAAAGAAGTAGATGAAGTATATTGTTGAGGCTCGTGAATATGATCTAGTTCTTGATGGTGGTTGTGCAAAGAGCAAATTAAGGTCTAACTTTCAAATTTATTTCAAGAATTCGGGGCACTTAATTGAGGATTGCTATAAATTGCAGAGTAGAGGAAATTTGGCTGCAGTTTTTCAGAAGGGAAGGCAATTATATACGTTAGGTGAAGCCATTGTTGAAACTTTTCACAATGATGGAGAGCTTTTACTTATATCTGACTACAACTCCAAACCTAATGAGGTTTCGATTTTGGATACAGATTGCACTTTTCATATGTCACCCAATTGGAAATTGTTTTTAACATATGAAGAAGTAATAAAAAGTGTTGTGATGATCGGTAATAATACACCTTGCCGAATAGCTAGTATCAGTCGGGTCCGAAAAGATGTTTGATGGGACGGTTATAACACTTTATGCAGTGAGACACGTTCCAAATCTGAAGAGAAATCTTGTTTCTTTAAATACTCTTGATTCAAAAGGGTACAAATACAGTACTGAAGGTAGAATCCTAAAGGTTATTGAAGGAGCCCGCGTTTTGCTGATGGGACATATAAAATCCCATTTATATATCTTGCAAGGTTATACAGAATCTTTGAGTAATCAACATATTTTAGGAACTCGAGTGAGAATTTAAAGTTGGCTTCTGTACCGTTGGAGTGTAATTTGGGGTCTTCTTTTAAGAATACGTTTCAATTCAATTTTGAAGATAAGGGTAAATTGATCTTAACACCATTATCGATGATGTTATCGTAATCAATTGCTAGAAATAAACTCGTTTTTGGCCATAAGATTCCTTATAGGTACAATTTTTCTGATTTTGTTGATAGTTTGAATGCGATTAAAGGTATTGATTTTAGCTAAGATCCTTCTTTTGATGCATTCAGTTGTGATTCTTTTACAGGCTTGTATCAGTCTTGTTTGGTGATCATTATATCACTTTTGCCCCTAATTGGGATAGTAGAGGTAGAGAACATTTCTAGATGGAGAAGTTCGTTTGTACTTTTCATGGAAGAGTTTAAGTTTATTTCCTAGCAGTGGAATTTGCCTCCACGTAGGGATGTCGACGGGGTCGGTTCGGTTCGGTTCGGGTCGGGACAACCTCTCCCGCCTCGTCCCGTCAAGTAATTTTCCACCCTGTACTCCTCATTACCCATTTACGGCGAGGACGAACAGGCCCCTTGTCCCATTTAGTATTTGTTTAATTTTTTTTTAATTTTTGATAATTCATTTTATTGTCCACATTCATTAAAGTGGGACAGTAATATAGTTATTAAAATTTTAAATAATTTGTTTATTTTTAAAATTTAAATTATTCAAATATATTTGGTAAATTAATGTTTTTATTATTTATCATGTTTTTTAGATAATTTTAATTGTCATATTCTATTAAAATTAATGAAATTTCGTAGAGTTTTCCACTTAAAGTATTAAAACTCTTAAAAAATAAATAAATAAATAAATAGGATGGGGCCCTTGTTATCAATACCCATCATGTCCTCGACCCAAATATCCAATTAAGCAGGTAATCCCCGTCTCGTTCGGGACTGGGCCAACGAGTATTGAGTTTGACGAGTTTTTTGCTATCCCTATCTCCGGGTGATTATTTTTTAAAAATTTGTTCATTATTCGTGTCAATGTGGGAATTGTTAGAATTTGTGTGTGACTCGAATTTTTAGATGAAGATAATTGAGAGCTTTAATTAAAGTGTACATTAAAAAGAATTCTATTTAGAATGCTAGTATAAAATCCTATTCAAACTTATTTGGCAAATTCTAGTTGAAATTCTAATTGGAAACCCTATTGGGAGTTGAAATTTGTATTGGATTTGAAGAGATCAAGATGAGGAAACTTTTGAGTATTCTATTTCATCTACAACTCTACTTCTAAGGCTTAAATTGTTCTCTATATATATTTGGTTCTTTTCTATAATTTAGTTAGGCTGTTTAACTTCATTACAAGTTAGACAAATTATAAACACAAAATCATTGTAATTTTTCTCCATATTATACTTTGCAAATTATTTTATTTTTGTATTCTTGCGATCAATTACTTCATACTATGGCTTAATCTATTATTTTCTCCAACAACTTGATATTGGACAAATCTAGTATCATCTTCCACTTTTCACAACAATTAGAATAAAAATTGTAGTCTTCTGCTACACCTTGTCTAGAGCTGTAAAATGCATCGGGACAGTGAACCACCAGAAACCACAATTTTCTTTGATTAACTTCATTTTATAGTTAACTTTCATAAAATTACCAAGAAAAAATCAGTGTGCAAGGGTCTTTACATCCCTACTTACACAACATTAATAGGTCCAAAAACTTGAATACGAAAATAAATCACTATCCTCTCTTAAATTTTATATATTCAAATTCGATTCAAATGCAGTTGCTGCATTGTAAGAAGCAACAAATCACTATCCTCTCTTAAATTTTATATATTCAAATTCGATTCAAATGCAGTTGCTGCATTGTAAGAAGCAACAAAAAGGTTGATTAAGGCAAAAATACGTCCAACATAGTTAGTGAGGAAGAAAAATGTAAGGAGTGACTAATAATCACATTTGAAACTTCTTACCAAATCAGATACATATTGAAAACTTCTTGTCTGCTTCCCATCGCCATAAACAGTCAGTGGTTCCTTTCTCAAAGCCTAGGAACAACAAATTAAGTTTTATACTCGTTAAATTTAACATCAACTGAACTCCATTTAAACCAAATAATACAATCTCGAACACATTGGTTACAGTACAAGTCTAATGCGGTGAAATTAGAGTCGAAAAACTACTAACTGAATATATTTATCAAATACGTTACCTGGGCAACAAAGTTACTAACAACTCGACCATCATCAATGCACATACGAGGTCCATAGGTGTTAAAGATCCTAGCAATCCTCACCTGCAACAGTATTGTTCAAAACGCTGTCACCAAATTTACCAGATATATAGAAGCGAGTTACTTCTTGCAAACTGAATCCCATTTTTCTAGCAAATTTTCGTACAAACTGGGCTAGTTTCAGGGTTTGTCTCTATAAATCTGGGACTTCATATATGTTTTTTCCATTTTTTAAGGAGATACGGTCTACACTTGGTTTTCTTTTTCATTTTTTTTAAATACAGTGAAATCCACGCCTCCAAACATGTCCCATAAAAAGTTTAAAAAAAGAAAAGCATATTTAAACCGACCTCAACGCCAGCTCCTCTGTGATAGTCCATTGTCAACGTTTCCCCCCCCCTCAAAACTAGCTCATATGTATCAAAAATCAAATAAAATACATCAACTCGTACCAAATGCCTTTCCTTCATATATCTGCCTCACCAGTTAAGAGCGGCACAAGTTAAGAACTGAAGACTACTGGACCCAAAATTAGGAACTGACTTGATAAATTAAGGAAAATTATCACTGGAGATTACTCAACTTACATGTTTACTTTAAGTTGGTCACGCAATTTATATTTTCGTTTCAATTTGAGGATTTGAAATCTACAATCAACAAAATTGATGGAAATTTGTAGCCTATCAAACAGCAATCATCACCAAAGATATATTTTTTAGCATCACACTTGTTTAATTCTAAAAAAAAAAAAACATAAATCCCACGTTTATTTTTTGTCTAATGTGAGCTTTCCTTTGTGGCAAATGGTTATACATAAATATTGAACTTGTTCTGTTGACTGTCGTCTAGGTCACAAGTTCCACCAGCGAAGTCAATTTCACAGATCAAGTCACGAATTCTGCCTATTTTTTTATCATTTAGAGAATAAATAGTCAAAAGAAACAAAATATAAGTTGAGTGATTAAAATTGAACTATACTAAAGTTAGGCGACCAACATGAGAAAACCCTGTAAGTTGGTTGACCCTTCATTAAATTTATTTGGATCTGGGTTGAAATTTGAACAGATATTAAAAACTTCCACCCATCATTGAAAAACACGAGGCGCGACGCTTTGAATTGAAAATCTATAACCAATGAACGTAAGACTCGGTTGCCCACAACCCCAAAAGGGCTCACATTAGACACGAGCTATAAAGCTAACATGAGCCGCACTGAGCGGCATTGCTCCGATGATATGATATACGGACTATAAGAAAATATGCAAAAATGCTTATATACAGAAAAATAAAAATAAGTATCGGGTCACTAACCGATGGGGTTGACGTTGCCCCAGTAACTTTCGACTTGCGGGTGTTGCAGTGGGTCACCATACACTTCGCTGGTGCTCGTTAGCAAAAACCGCGCACCCACTCTCTTTGCCAGTCCTAGCATGTTTAATGTCCCTACTACATTTGTCTTGTGAAGAACAATAAATCAAGGATAAACGGATAATTAAACACCCCAGTTTTGCGTGAAACGTAAATAATTAAAATTTGAATTGAAATTGGGAAAAATTAATAATCGGACAGAAGGATATGATAGTCTTGACAGGATTGTGCTTGTAATGAACAGGAGATGCAGGGCAAGCAAGGTGGTAGATCTGATCGACCTCCAATAGAAGTGGCTCAACGACGTCATGTCGAATCAGTTCGAACCTAGGGTTTCCAAAATGGTGCATGACGTTCTCTTTCCTACCGGTGAAGAAATTGTCAACTACGATCACGCTGTCGCCTCTGCTAATCAGACGGTCAACCAAATGGCTTCCGACGAACCCGGCCCCACCGGTCACCACGATTCTCAAACCCTTTCTCTTCAGGCCCAGAGGTATTTTTCCGCCTGAGTTGAAGGACGACCCAAATCCGAAACCAGTGGCGTGGTTATTCTGGTAGATGAGTCTATGAGACTGAGTCAACTCGGAGGGGAAAGCCGAGTTAGAGATGGAGGCCGGGGTGTTGGATGAGGGGAGGAGGGCGAAGATGAGGGTGGCGATGGCAATGCCTACGAAAACAAATACGAGACGCTGCTCACGGAGCATGTACCGAACCGGACGAATCACACTCAACCATGGCTTCGGAGGCTTTGGCGAGTACGCCTCCGTCACAGGCGGCGCTTCATGCCCTCTGAATATCAATTCAGAACCCATATATATGCGTGTATGATTGTAATCTGTACCTATATATATGTAGACTGTATCAAGAGATCAGAGGAGAGGAAGAGAAAAGTGAAATCAACTGAGTCTCTATGTGTGTTTGTGAAATGCCGGAATTGAAGAGACCGAAAATGCCGGAATTTCGCCGGAGTTTTCAGGAATTTCTTCCACCGGAGCGTGGGGTTGATGTCCGATAGACTGAAGGTATGAGGGGGATTTTATAGGGGGGTAATCCATGGAATTGGTTTATATTACGAAACTACCCTCAGATTGTTTAAGGTCCGTTTGGTAATCATTTTTTTCAAAATACATTTTTCTCTCCCTTCTTTTCAACTACATATTTTTTATTAAAATAATATTACACGTAAATCAAAAACTTTTCCTTATTTCTCAACCACACATTTCACATCAGTTTACTATTCTAAAATACATTTTTACATAAAAATGTCTATCAAACACCTCCTAAAATGTAAGCGGTTGCTACCTATATTAGGCCCTCGTTAGATAATATTTTTTCGCCCCAAAAAATCAATTTTTTAATCATTATTTTACTATTTCAGTCATCATTTTTTAGTTCTTTACTCACATGTGTAATCTATTTTTTCTCTAACAATCAAAAAATCAATTCCATAATCACTGCCAAACATGGCCCTATGTAGGAGTATTATAAAGTGGTCATTTGGCAACTAGAGGTTAATATATTAATAATTTTAAGATATAAAAATAAAATAAAATAGGTAAGCCTTTTATTTGTTTAAACCTGATAGAGTATTTGTGATCTTCTTTAAGATTTTATTTTAAGTAATTTGATAAATGCTAAATTGATGACAGACGTTGCACACTGAATTCCTACAAAACTTTATTTGAGTGCATGGATTAAGATTGAGATCTCACCCTGGATATGACTAGAAAATAGTCATTTAAACTGGAATAAACATGCGAGAAATGCAAAAGGAAACATATAAACAGCGTTATTCTTTACTTTTTAAAAAATTTAGTTTGGACGGTCTTTGTTAAGGTCCATTTAACCAATTTGCTTGTTAATTTAGTTTGGACGGTCTTTGTTAAGGCAACATTACTCATTAGCATATCATCGTTCTTGGAAAAGCACCAAAGATGGGATTATAGCTAAATATGCAGTAGTTCACAAGAGGGTTGGACCGTAATATGAAAGCGTGGAGGATCAGTGAGGACGATTTGCACGAAGAAAAACGTAGGAAATTTTCTTGAGATTACGCTGAAGCAATTGCATTACGAGGGTGGGGAATTTGTTAAGGAACGTACGTGGCCTTAAAAATGAGACAACTCAATGTTACCCTCAAAAGTGTTACTAGTAATTTGAATTCTGCTAACTCCTTTATGCCTGCCCTTCGATCACTGTTGCGTAGTAGGTGGTGGCTCGTGTCAATTTAGGCCCACAGACGGGAACAAAGTAGTACACAAATTGGCCGCCCTATCTACTATGATTCCATCTTATTTATGTTTGAATTGATTTTCTTTCAATTGCTATTTTATTTGCACTTTTCGCCTTTTAGTGAGAAGTTTTTTACATCCAAAGAAAAAAACTAGCTAGCTTGTTGGTTTGATTTTGGCGATTTTTGATAAAAAATGAACTCTATTATTATTATTTATTTTTATTTTCATTTTTTTTTTTTTGTGTTATGTTTCAGATCTTATTTATTATCATGCTCTAAATTTGCTTTTTTCGATAAAATGTATTTAGTCAATGTTTCATCTAGTTAAAAATTAGATTTTTAGTGCCTCCCGAAGCATATTCCAATGGTGCAAAGTAAAAAGATGGGGTATACTCAGCCTTGTTGGCAGACGCAGTGTGATGGTTCGATTTTTGAAACATTGATTGAGACTCTTTGTGGACACCAGTGTACAAACAGTTCTTATTCCCTGGCCTGTTGAGGTATATCTCACGATACTCCGGGGGGGACGGTGAGAGACCCTTTAAGGTTGCGGTTCAACCTTTGAAAAATTAGATTTTTAGTAGATTTTGATAAAAGTTATTGAAATGTATAAATAAAAATTTGATAAAAGTTATAGTCCTTATAAAACGAGTGGTTGAAAATGAGTTTTAAATAATGAAGGTCAAACAAGAGCTCGATACCAAAATTTTTTGTTAATTGAAAAACTTTGATTAGTAATAAACATTCAAAGTTAACGTTTCGAACCCTGCAATGGCACCGTTATAATTTATTTTAATGTCGAGTGCTTAATTGTCTAATTGATTGCTACCGTCCCATTGGAAGAGGGAAAGCTACTTAAAGGCATTTTGGTGGATCTTTGAGTGATTTGAACGTTCATTTTCGAATAAGAAGTCAAACACCCCACATGATAGAAAAAATACTGGGCCGATATAGCTTCATTATCAAACCAATTTCTAAATATTTTTAAATTTTCATAATGCATACAACTTGACTAATTTTTCTTTTTAGAGGGTGTTTGAACCCATTATTATGTAAAAATGAATTTTAAAATTGTAGATTGATGAAGAATGTATGAATAAAAAATAAGGAAAAATTTCGATTTACGCGTAATATTATTTTAATGAAGAATGTGCGATTAAGAAGAAGAGAAAAAATGTATTTTGATAAAAATGAAAAATCAAACAAGACCTTAGTAATAGCGAAAGTAGTGAATTCTCATACGACTGTATATATGGTGCATTTGGACAAGACTGCTTAATGTGACAAACAAATGTTTTGTAAATCTTTCTTTTTCAATCATATTCAATTAGATATTATTTTTGAAATCTTGGGTTTGAAATATCAAAGTTAATAAGAAATGAACGATGATGATTAATCTTCATAAAAGCAGCACATTATTTTACCTTCAAAACGCACCACCAAGATGGCTAGTGAGCTTGTTCGAGTTTTTTGCACTATGATTACAAATTGTCCCTCGTAGTTTCATTTTAAAAGTGTTTATCTTATTGAGGAAAGTAGCCAACTCTTAATTATTTTTCATAGTTAATAACTGTAGTAGTATATTGTTGTTCACAATCTGTCACAAGATAGTGATCGCTTAACAAATGTAATTATTCATTTAAGATTGGACGAATAGAATTGTTCATTTACGTATTTTGAACTCTGATATCAAATGAAATTGTAGCGTTCTATTTTAAAACATCAAACTTAATATGAGGAGTAATCACAGTAACTGGAAATTAAAGAAGCCTAGAAAACTGGTTGCTACTAAGACTGTTTCCATTGTTGAAAAATTTATTCATATCGTTCACTCACTTCGAACATTTCAAGTTTAAATTATTTTATTTATCGAGCTCAAATATCTCATTTAGGAATAAGCATTTTATCGATCTTAAAAATCTCTTGTTTCTCTTTCTAACTATCATTGTACTACTTATCTAACTCAAAAGTAAAAGAGACGTTTTGCCATCCAACAACAAGTTTAAATTCTCCATTTTATTTTAAGAGCGATATTCTTATGTGATATATCAATGATTGAGATGTCCCAACAATTAACAATATATGTTACTTAAGTTAATTAACTAAACTAACTAAATTATGCAAAAACTGAAAAATAAATTATGCTCATAAGCTCCATTAATTAATTTGGCCACTAAAGTTGTAGATATGCGCTTCCACCGACTTTATTCTACATAAACTTCATCTTTACTATCGTATTGGAACTATGCCACATATTTTTGGCTAAGTACAAACCAATAATTTTATTATCTTGGCATTAATTATAATATATTTTTATATGATTCCCTATATTATTTTTCCCAGATTATGATATTCTCTTCCAAATTAGCATAGCACACAAAAGAAGAAAGAAAACGAACATGTCGAACCAAATTAATGATGGCATTAATGGTTACAAATATTATAAGAATTGTAATAAAATTGTAAAGCACACTTCATTCCTTATTTGGATTGGGATTTTGCCATCGTGGGGCTCTATCTTGCATTGATAACTTGTCATAATTAGGTAATTATTACTCCATCCATCGCATTTATGTAGGCCGACTTTCCTTATTTTCAACTTACGTGTGGTGGAAGTAGAAACGTGTCATTGAAATTTTAAGCTCCTTGAAATTTTTCTATGAAAACACGTACGTTGTGAAGGTATTTTATGAAATAAATAAAAGAATGATTATTACCCACTGATTTTACCAACAATCACAAGTAACAAGAAAAGAAATAACCCCAAAAAATTTAAAATAAAAATTAGTAACTACTAAATAACATAGATTTACAAAATGGAAAGTTGCCTAATCAGGCTACAGGCTTTCCAACCGCAGATAAAATATACTATATCCAGCATATTTGGGCGTGCCTAAAAGCACATTTTTTACCATTAACGTTGTCAAGAAAAGCACAACCATTTATGCGTTAGTTGACAAGTGGGGCTACACAACAATATTCTTTCCATCATAAAAACTATTTTCTGATTGAATGTTGCAATCAAAGTTTGCAATTAAAAATTTCTCTCGTTTATCATTCAGAATTCTTCCATTGATGGTTTTTTTATTGACTACGAGAATACGTACTGTGAAATTTATTGTAGTTTGAGAAGACGACATCCTTGAATTTGGATTTTTTCCTCGTTTTTAAAGGCACGTAAAAGAAGAATTAAGCCACTTTCAAGGATTGTCATTTTCATGGAATTATAAACTTTATAGGTATGATCTTGAAGTTATGTGAATCATCAATGGATGAATTTTGACTCAAAGATTAATGAGATAGTGATCGAAAAACAATATCTAAAGTGATAGAAATTTCTTGATTGCTAACTTTATGTCGCATTTAATCTCGAAATAGTTTTTAAATGAAGAATTTTTGCCTATTTGCCTTCTTGGAAATGATGACACTAAGAAATCTCCTCAAAGCCTATTAGCCTAACTTCTTGCAAATCCTGATTCGACATTGATCCTTTACCAGAAATTAATTTAGAAAAGGTTGTAGCAAGCTTCATCAAAATCTTCAGCCTTTTACGTGAACACCTCGACCATGCCCAAGATCTAGCTCTAATTTTGCCTTTTTTACCATTCTTCTTCTTCCTGCCAACTTCTTCTTTCTCAAATTCTTGTCGTTCCCTTGTCTAAATAAAATGTAGATTGCTCCAAAGCGTGCAAATCCTTCTACCTAATAATCAACAAGCAGAGTGCAATCACAAAACGTGAAAATGAAGAACCCGCCAGCTACATAGATAATAAAGAATGACATTGCTACAACCGAATTAATAAATAAATTACAAGAACATTACTTTATTCATTACCACCTTGAGGTAGAAAAATCAGCATATGAAGTAATTCAAAGAAAAAAAATTTAAAATAGATTTTCAATCTGTCGTGCCACTTTACATACTGAACCATTTACCTACCGGGTAGCAAAAAAAATAGCCTGTCTAGCTCATCTTAGCCTTGTGGTCGTGGGTTCGAGCCCCACAGTGGGCAAAAATTCTTTCGTAAAAAAATAATCCTATTGGGTTGCTCATCTTGAATGAGGAGTTTTCTGAGAACAAGTCTAATATCAAGTACACTTAGCCTGGTTTGATTTTGATGTTTTCAAAATTATTTTTCTTCAAACTCATTTTCCAATTCACATTCTCTCACTAAAATAATTTTGTACTTGAACCCATAATTTTCCTGCTTCTTAACCACATTCTACGAAAAAAATCATTTATCAAATAATCATGATCACACAATAGCTTAATATTTTTTGATAAGCTATATAATGCAACAAGGATGTAATTGTTACAGACTACTATTAGAACAAGTTAATATCAGTACCACTTTACTGCCGTACTTTAGCTAGAACAATAAACTAACAATAATGTAATTTGAGGTTTGAGTACCTTAACCCTTCTAGTTTTCAGTAACAAGCTGCGAATTTATTCTAAGTGGAGAAATATTATACACGGTTCATCCTAGTGCGAAAGCACGTGCGGTAGTGTGATTTTTAACGGTATAAAGTGAACTGTGTCACCATTTTGATGGCCCGTGCCAGGCTTGCCAAGCTCCAAAATTTTTACATACCAAGACAAAAATTATACGACCAAGTATAGCCACCAGCACAAACCATGTCAAGCCATGATGGGCCAGGCCGTGAGACAGCTGGAAGGGAAGGAATTATTATAACTATGCACGGCCATGGCCAGCTCATGCCAGGCCACTTTGGCTCAAACTCGTGGACTAAAGGCCAATGGTACCACGTCATGGCAGTCCTGTATGAACATTTACCACCTCTAGGCTGGGGGATAATTTCTACTGCCCATCAAGGCCACTGGCCAAATCCATATCATTAGAACGCTTTTAATCTCTAGATGGTGGTTGTAAGAGGAGAGAGAGGGCTTTAAAAAACCAAGAAAAATATTCTGAAATGAAGCAAGATGGTGCCAACCTCGACAGCTTATGATAATTTAATCATAAAAGCATTTCAAATAGCAGTACAATTTTAGAAAAAGCAATACAGATGATAAAGGAAATCAATAAAGAAAAATAAGATTCAAAATTGTTTTCATAAGAATACCACCTAAGCATATCAACCAGAATCATAACAAAGGTTAGAAGATAAAAGTCCTTGTGTATTATTGCCAATGTTCTCTCCTCACATTGCCTTCTTGAGAATCTCTTCCGAAGGAATTTCAAGTGTAGCTCCTGCATGCTCTTTACTCGGCTTCACTTCTGCATCAAGCAGTAATAGCATGTGAAAATGCACTTGTAAATCATTATAAGCTGATACGGTTATTCACATAACAAATGTGAAATGCCATTGTAAACAATACAAGCTAATACAGCTGTACTATTCTCATAAACAAACATGATCACCTACTGGGTTGTGAGCTGGCATTTCATAAATTACAGAAATAGAAATCATATATCCAGATAAACCGAGTTGACAACTCCCTTAACAACGATCCATATCTGTGTGTTTTTCTCACTTACCCAACAAATAAAATGGATACACTTGACGAAATAAATCAACTTGCAGGAAACTTTTAATATTTTGCTGTATCGAGGCAGCATAGAAGCATGCAAAACGGTGAGGCTTCTATTGATTTTCTCACTTCACCCACCTCAAGCTCAGCCAAAACCATGGGAGTGGTCCAAAGCAATCAATCGCAATAGTAAAGTGACTTAGTTCATAGCTGCACTCTACTCCAAATTGAAATGCTTGCTCTCAATAAATTTAAGGTATACAGCTTGAATATTTTTTTTCCACTTCATTCACTCATTGATGAATCTAAACATATATTTAGCAACAACAGCAAGCAATGTTAGCTTGGTCTTATCTTCCCCTTCTAACCTATAGATTCTAGACTATTAAGATTGCGTCACTCTTATGAACGGTAGCCTCTTTGAGTCCAAGAATATTTTGATCTATCCTCAATCGGAGCCACTAACACCAGTGATATTTTCACTTCCTGTCTTATCCACTTTTATGAATATATATATCCATCTCATCGGAAACTAAATTTAAAAATTTGGGCATTTTCCGGATCATCGATTTCAACTAGGGAAATGAAAAGTAAATCTGGGGAGATTCCTTTAGCGTCTCTATTCTTTTTTCAGAATTCACAAATATTAGATGACTACCATGAACCTAAAAAAAAAGTAAAGCAGCAATTCTTAGCACAATTCAAGTATCTAAATCCGGTACTGTTATGGATGACGGATCAAACGCCCTCATCACGTGAAAGCAACAACAACATGAAATAGAATACCAAAATTAGCTGAAAACATTCGATCTAGGGTGCTTCACGCTCAATGTAGGAGTTACATCCACTTTTATGTGTGTGGAGGATTACTGTGCGATTCGAATCTCAAGTCTCTCTTTTTTCTCTAGCAATAAAAGGGCCATCCTAACAAGAAAAAATTGGGTTGATCCAAGGTTGCCAAAAAATTAAATAGGATAAAGTAGGATCAGTGCATCCAACACGGACAATACAACAAACAAGTGGCGTGCATATTATGAATTAACACATTCAAAACAATAGAAAACAATCAAAAATCAAGAAGAAAAAACTTGAGATAACTCAGAAATGAGAAAGGACTAAGAAATACCGTAACCACCACGTTCATTGAGCTTGGCCTGGACGATCATGGTGGCGATGAATTGGGATGCCTCACGCGCCTCTTCAAGCAGTCGCTGTAGGTCGGCGGGGGAAGTCACGTGACGGTTCTCCTCGAATTTCTTCCTGACCTCGGCGGCGGACTCCCGGAGCATGAGAGTGTCTCCGGCAAACGTTTTCCGAGTGGCTCTCAGCACCGCTCTGTACGCAATAAGTGCTTCTTTCGCCATTTCTTCTTCTCAAGTGATCTTTGGTCTGAAACAGTATTCGTGTTTGGCTTAACTTAAATAAATACTCTCTTTTTGACGTAGATTCTACTAAAAATTTCAAATCAAAATTACTAATTAATTTAATAACACTTTTAATTGAATTCACAAATTTTTAATCATACATTTTATCAATTTTATCAAAATTCACTAAAAATTATTCTAATCTACATCAAGAGCTTAAGTTGAGCTCATTGTCTCAATAATCACTAATTTTATGTCCACGTCTTTGATTGTTCAATAAAGATTGAGATGTTAAATTTTGGCAATTAAATTTATCAAAATATCAGATGTTAATGATATCTGTTTCAAAATGCCAACAAAATTAGTGACATGATAGATCAAATGCATTGGTGGCGCCTAAACACCGTTATGCAAATTGTCATGTAAAAAATGCATTTTTTTTATTACTCACTATACTTTGAAAAACATCTTTGATTGTTCATAGTGCTTTAAGGTTGTCGACTTTTGTCTACTAAACTTGTAAAACTGATGCCAACTTGTCCTAAAAATTTAAGAATGTTATTTCAATTATTAATTGCATACAACAAAAATTAATGGACGTTTTTAGCAATCATAAAATAAACCCATGAAATAGAAAATTGAAAATGAATTCAAAACTTAAAATTGAAATACAAACGAAATGGACCCTAAGCTTAAAAAATAAATCAGTATTCTACAAATGTGCCTAAGTGCGGACAAAATGCTTTGCCCTGGCGGTAAGCACGAAAGCTGACTGCTTAATGCCTAAGCATGCTTTATTAATTTTTTGATTTTTTTCCTTTATAAAAAATTTTTATTTGATTTTAGTTTATTAATTTTTTTCTTTTTTTAAAGGTTTTTATTTGGCTTTAATTTAAGTTTTTAAATGATTTTATCAGCACAAGAGTAACTTTATTCGATAAAGATTTACATAAGATTTAAGTTACATAACTATTTATATTATGTAATTATAATTTTGGTACTTATCGTATTATTGAGAACTTCGTAAGTATGTATGAAGTTCTTATAAATCTATTCAGTAGGAGTTATCCAGATGAAAGTTGAAACTATGAAAAATAATTTAGTTTTTACATTCCGAAAACTTAAGAATTGTATAATTGACTAATTGTAATAATAATTAAGTAAATATAGAATTTATTAAATTTGGATGTTTGGAATTTATTAGTTTAATTATTAAATAATTTTTAGAATGATTAAATTTCAAATAATAATAATAACACTTTTTTTACGTCTAGATTTGTAAAGTTTGAAACTTGATATCCACATTTAGTCATACTTTACGCATTTTAGAACACTGAAAAAAATACAAACACTGAACAAAAAGAGACACCATGTGTTGGCAATAATATTCTTCTCGACGAATTCTTCAAGTTATTCATTTTTGGTAATTAGCACAAATGTTTGGTGTCACTGGGCATTATGGACCCATCATTTTAGGGCTCAGCATTTTGGCTCCATTTTTATGGAAAATACAATTATACCTCGCCACCACACCACCCAACTTTCTCGCTGTCGGTTATGTGCAAGTACAAGGATGATGAAAAACGAAAAATTCGCATGTACAAGGATGATGCAGTTGCAGCACTGTTTGTGCATTTCACGAAGATGGAGAGGGACTTCCTCACTTTAATTTTTAATTTAATTTTCCTTCCTCTCTTTGTCATGAAATTGCAACCAGTAAGGTTGGTTCCACATCACAAAGTTCACCTCTACAATTATCAGAACCCAAGAATCGAAGGGTAACAAACAAGGGACTTGCTAAACATGTATTGGGGAATGAGCAAACTTAGGTTGGAGAAAATTGCAAACAAAGACTTGATGGATTCAACGTCTACTTTTTTTTATTTTTTGTGATTGAGCCTCTCCTTATCAAAGGGATACAAACCCTCAAATCACCCTCGGGGCATAATCCAATGGTACAAAGAACAGGAGTGAGGTTATCTCACGCCTTACTGACAACCACAGTGTGGGGGTTCGATTACTGATACATGAAATTAGACTCTTTATAGGGGTAGTGTACAGATAGCTCTTATTCCCTGACCTGTTGGGATATATCCTGCGATTTACCTCCCTCACAAATCTCTATAGACGGGGCGATAGGGACCCTCAAAGTTGGGGTTCAACCTTTTGACACAAACCCTCAAATCACTTGACTAATAGACCATTAGAAATCTTGCCAAATTGCGAAACCAAAGTATCGAATATAAACGTCATTTCAAATGCAAATCTTGACGCAATCAAATTAACACGGACTTTAGTGCAATAAAATCACACACAACGAATTGGACCATTTGCACAACTAACAGAGAGTAGAAAACCAAAAGATGAAAAATCTAAAGATTGAAAACCAATCTTCCACTCTCTCAAAAGTCGCTTTGAATCAAGGCAAACTTGTGTTCAACAATCTTGAAAATCTTAACAATCGCCAATGAAGCACCTTTTTGACCAGAATAATGTTGAAAACTTCTTATTTCTTCCTTCTTTTCTACAAAAAGCTCACCAAAAACATACACCCATAATCTCCCCGAAATTTTGAGGTCAATAACTAACATGGTCATCAATGTTTCATAGGACTTATCGCCTTATCTTCATCCTCAATCTTAACATCAACATTAAGCCCTCGTTTGGTCCCCATTTTTTCAAATTATAATGTGTGGAATAATATTTTTTTGGAAAATGAGTAATTGAAAAATAATGAAAAATTTTCAGTGTACATGTAATATTATTTTATAGAAGATTGTGTGATTGAAAATAGGAGAATGAAAAATGAAATTTAATTTTAATGAGGGCCACAGGGGCTAAGTAACTCAATCACACGTTTTTTTAAATTTATATAGATGATCCATTACATAAGAATCCTCATCGATCTTCAACTTACATAATTACTTCTTCAATTATAACCTATTTTTCGATAATTTAGACATACAAATCTTCTAACTTTTTCATAACTTAGAAGGAGATATCTCGTTTAAAACACTATATTTTACCTCGCGAGCAAGAGACAATCTAATGGTATTGATTGCCATCGCTTCTAACTCTTGCAGCTTTCATCATTTTTTGGACTCTTACCTTGTAAAATCTCATAAAGTTCATGTTGTACGAGAATATTTTCAATGGTACTTGCCAAATGTTAAAATTATTCTTCCCTTTACAATGCTCCAACTCATATTTGAATTTGTCGTCTTCGTCACAGCAATCCCAAATTTTGAACATTGAGCTCCGATACTATTGTTGAAAAAAATTAATCCACAAAAGTACAAAACCCAAAATGAATAAAGAAGACACATAATTAAATGTTGTTCAACAAACCACGTACAACCAAGGAAGAAGAGACTTTGCTCCCATTTGGTTTAGTTAAAAATCATATTTTATTAGATTTTGATAAAAGTATGATA